CATTTGTAATTCGATCTTCACCCGACTTTCAATAAAATAATCTCAACTAAGAGTGCTATTTGAAAAAAAATAATATAAAATAATAAAAATATATAAAAATAAAAATAATATAAAATAATAAACCATATATAACAAATCTAATGACGACTTCATTTACAAATATTATAATAAAAATTTGTGCCTCATAGCTAACTTTAGCTTACGAGATGAAGACAAAGGCAGTTGATTAACACATAAGTTCTCTTGAAGTGACAGATCCATTGTCCCATAAAAAATCTAAAGCATCGCGGTCGAATTTATTGCACAACAAGTTGAAAATATTTCTTATCAGTAGCACATTGCGGTGGTCAACTTTTGCTATCGATATAGATAGGTGTAGATGGGTCGCCGGAGTTTCTTCCCTCTCCATATAATGACATAAACCGTTGTTCACTCGGTCATCTTTTCCTTGTTATATAATCTACATTTTTAATTTCTGAATTCTTTTCGAAATTCAATAAAATAAAGCTAAGAATACAAATAAAGCTAAATATTCCTTATTCCCAAATAAAGCTAAATATTACCAAATGTTTATTACCCTTTCAAACTCGTTTTCCTCTGGCACAAGTGTAATTAACCATGAAATTTTGGTGATTCTAAGGATCTTACTAATAGCTAATGGAGGGAATCTAAATGTAAGTGGCTCGTGCTGATTTGTTGTGCTTTGCCAAAGTTTGTAGCAAAAAATAGCAAATATTATTTTAGAAGAAAAAATGTTGATTAGAACGAAAAATAAATGTCGGAATGGAATCGATAGAAAAACGAAATAGTAAAAATTTCACCAAAAAATTTTATTTATTCAATAAAATCGTGAAAAATTCGTGCATGAATGAATGAAAATAAGCAAAAATCAGCTATAATTATAAATCTAATGCGTTATCGCTAAATTTTACTTATCTCATCGATCTGTTCATGATTCTTCTAATTTTACATAAATCTGCTCATAGAAAATAAAAAATAATTATAAAACGACCAAGAACTTCTTAATTAATAGATTCGTGAATAGCACTTATCACTTCTAGATGGATCTGATCCATCGGCTAGATTGGAGCATTTTCGCCAGACAATCATTGCAGGTAGAAATACAGATGGGTGCCTAGCACTATCCGGATTTTTCTTAACAATAGGCTTACCTAGACCAAGAGCTGGAACAGAACCATGAGAATGATAATCGAAATCATTCGGCCATATTGCCTCCAATTATAAATTTTTGTTACTTAAGCAACTTGTTAACTTGTTAAGAAGAGATGCAGTAATAATATCTTATGAATCCCAATTTTCTAATTTGCCCCTAAAATTCAGACTTACAAAAATAGCAGTAAGTTATCCATTCTCAATATTTAGAAGAAAATACCATAATGAAGGTACCTAATACATAATAAATTGGTAAAACAACCGCTTTCTAAAGTTTAATGAGATTTAATTACACAAATCGCTCATTAACAGTTGGAGAAATTTATTAAACTAATAGCAAAAATGTGAAAATGACACATAAGTTGCCATGATTTCTCAACAAATAATAAAATTTTTTATTGTGGAAAGAAACAAAATAGGTAAAATATAAGGTGAAGAAAATTTTTAATTTAAATTCGAATTGAACAATTTTTTCATTTCTTTTTTTCATGCCTGAAGTTCAACTTCTAAGAAGACTTGAGGTACGCAGATCTTCAAAAAAATATAATAAAACATTTCACATTTCGCTGAAGTTGTTGAATGCCCAACGATTTGTTTCAGAAGCGCAAAACAGGTTTCGGCTTTACAAATAGCATATAATTTAAAACTTAAAATTTTAAAATGATACTGGCAAAAAATGAAATCTTCGTTGATCCTTTACTGTTGCTCGAATTTTATTGATTCTATGGAGTTAATCCAATTAATTATAGAAAAATTAAAGCTAGAAAGTTAAAAGTGCGATTAGCTTCTTCGAATCCTCTGAATAAATTTTATAGGACTGAAAAAGAGCCATTAAATTTCCAGCACTATTCGTTATTAAAAATAGGTTGAATTTGAAAAATCATGGATTAAAAACAAAGCCCCAAAAGAAAACCTTTAAAAAAAAACTTGCTTATAAGATAACTAAAAGATGCTCCAACTAATCAGTTATTAATAGTTATAAGTTAATAACAGGGAAATTGATAAATACTGATAAAGCACTGGTAAAGCTTTCGTTTGATACCAATCGTAAAGTTTGATATATCAGTCGTGAATTTGTATCTATATCATTAATCATATGCTTGTTTCTTTACAATTCTTCCTGATAAAAAAATTTCAAATAAGAAGTTATTTGATGGGAATTGACAAGACAACTTAAGATGGCTAACAAATTGTTGAACTGATAATTTATTTTATCTTTGTACTTTTACACAAAAATGATTGTATAAACAGATTGAAAATTTTTATTATCTTTTTCTGCCTTCTAATTTTGCAAGTGTTACTTTATTTTATAAATAATTTATTAGCCTTAATCCATCTACAATGGCGACGAGATTCGATTATAATATCAGCAAACCTGGCATTAAAGTGAAATCTAATTAATGGTGAGTGGAGCTAACCAAATAGAAATGCTGAGGAGTAGAGTAAGGTTAATGGAATTTTCAAAAAAAAAACAGTAATAAAATGACGGATGAATTTTTTCTTCTAACAGCTCTCGCCATTACTGGTTAGGCTGGTTTTGCTGGCTATACGGGTTTCCAAGGCGCTCGATTCGATGCTGTTAACACTACCAGAAGCCATTTATTTTTCTTCTTTGCCACATGTCACTGGGCTGCCTATACGCTCAAAACTCTGGTTCTATCAGTTCAGGTCTGGTTGGCTCTCCTTGCTTTTGAAGCCGTCCGTCAGAGGACAGCGATGCATGCAGTGATTCTAATGATGGGGACTAATGATGCTTTGTGACGATAATATTGATGGCGATGTTGTTTGAGTGAAACTGATGCCACAATGCAAAAAATATTTAATGGCACCTTTTTTCCTAAAAATTTTTCCCATTTAAGTTAATATTTATAACTTTTAAGATTTAATTTGTCAGTGACTTCATAGTAAAGTGAAAAGTCATTGATTTTTCGTATTTTCAACTTAGGAAAATCAGCAAAAAAATTTAATTTAATACTGAAAATTTTAGAATGGAGGGTAAAATAAGGAAGAAGAATATCTGGTAAACTTTAATAAAAATCCTATAATATGGTTGGTCCTCTTGACTATTGATCGACACCGATATTTTTGATTTTTTAGACTTGTTTGCGGACAAGTTTTAGTGTGATTTGTTGGTGAAACATTCGCACATTGGCATAAGTTCTTAGATTTCCTAGATTTTTTTGAAATTTGATTCTTCTAATTGCACTCATCAATTCTACCTAGGCTGCCTGCATTGGCTGTTATTAATCGTTCGAGAGAGAACGGTTAGAAGTGCGGATGAATTCCTCAACACCACTCAGATTTCATTTTTAATGACAATGTTTCTCATAAGAGATAGAAATTGAAATTGGTTTTGCCTTAGAAGCAAAATACTATTCGACAATTTTGTTTCCCTGCAGACTTTGAATTCCAAATTTAAAACTCACTGTTGATCTTCATCATTTGTTATAGAAATATTCAGCTGCAAGACAACTTTTATCTAAAAATAACACGCTTCTAGTGATCATTATGAACGATTATTACAATCACCACTATTTTTGCCAATATTTTCAGAAAAAATATCCGATTGCATATAATATAAGTTATATAAGTTAAGTTAAGTATATACTCGCATATAAGTTAAGTTCACTGTCAAAGAACATTATCTTCCTAAGAACCACGATTTTGCCCGTTTGTTATTCACCTTTAGGGTATTATTAATCTTGAAAATATTTCGTATAACCTATTTCATATAAAAGACTTCTCTTCTCATCCCTTGTGGGTGGTATGGGGCATCCTCCACCTCGTGTCCTCTACCATAGGCTTGAGAGACTGAAGCAAAGCACATAAGCTTTTACAAGGTCTCGCCGCTCCATATTAATCACTACACTATATATATATATATATATATATGCATATATATTTATAATTTTTATATTCTGCTATTTGAATCTTAACTTGTGCAAGAAGCTATTCAGTTTTTTGCATATTTTAAAAAATCAAGTTTCAAGTTTATATAAAGTTTCTATCAGTGCAAATTTCATCAATGCATTCATAGCAATGTAAAATTTGCATTCAAATCACTTCATTCGAAAAAAATTTCACGAATGCCATAGTCACTTTTTTTAGAGTTTGTGATATGTGATTCGCTCACTTTCATAGTGTTTTTTACAAAATTTTGTCGTAAAATTCTTTTTTTCTAAATGGTGACATTTTAAATTCTCCAACCTTGCAACGTATAAACGTCAGTGATTTTGCAATAAAGAATATCTTGCAGAAGATTGGTCCCTTGCACCCCAAGAAAAGTCGTATTTCATATTCCCCAGGAATGCGAAAGTGCGCTTGTCCCATTCTAAGAGAGGCAATTCGATGGCATGATTATTCCTATCCGATATAATCATCATAACATATAAAATGGCAATTTTATATATTATATTCAAAAATATATTCTATGCAACAATTTGTTAGAATTCCTTTATTATTTACCTTATTTATTATTTATTTAATGATCGGTCACTTTAAATCAATTTATTATTTACGGCAAACTGGTAGACATCGCTGGAAAAAGATATGATAAAGATCGAATAAAATCGATAACATTTGAAAAAAAATCAATGGCATTTTTTGAAATCTGTGGAACGAATTTTTCTCAGGATTAAATTTTATTTCGATTAAGCTGCGATTATTTGATGCTAATTGTAAGCCAATTTTTGATAAGACTAATTATGTAGCCATAAATAAAATAATCAGTAATTTACCAAATTAAGAAAATAAAAATCTCAGTCATTTAAAAAAATAATTGAAATCCTAGGTCATAGATGGAGAAAAACCTAAAGAAAAATCCTCGATCATGGGCGGAAAAATCCTTGATCATACAAGCTCAGAGCAGCGAAACGTGGTCTGCGTCGTAAAGGCTCCTCTGGTGTTCCAAAGTCAGAATTGCCAATTCCAGAAGAATAACTTCCTTGAGAAGAATAACTACCTTCAGAAGAATAACTCTGGCTAGATGGTCGATCATATGATTGTGATTTTCGTGGAACATTTGCAGGGGGAACATATGTCAATGGCTTTTCTGTATCAGTGGTTGGCTGATAATAGTCTTCTTCCTCTGAGACATGTGCATGTGGTTGTTGCACTACTGGCCGTGAAATATATGATTGTTGTTGCGTAAGAGGCATTTGTGATTTTGGTGGAAATGAACCAGATATTTTTGGATACATCGGTGGTTTTTGTGGTGGAATGTGATCAAACGGTGGATATATCTGCGGTGGTTTTTGTGGTGGAATATGATCAAATGGAGGATATATCTGGGGTGGTTTTTGTGGTGGAATGTGATTAAATGGAGGATATATCTGGGGTGGTTTTTGTGGTGGAATGTGATCAAATGGAGGATATATCTGCGGTGGTTTTTGTGGTGGAATGTGATCTACTGGTGGATAGATCTGTGGTGTTTTTTGTGGTGGATGAAAAGGTCCTGGTGGTGATACTGGCTTCTGGTGCACATTAGATGGTCGGTGGTATCCTCCGCCAAATTGGTCTCGTTCTGGCGGCATAAATGGACCACGTTCGTATGATCTGAAATTTTTATTTTAAAACAACTTAAGGCAGAAATATAAAAATATTCATTCTTAACTGGTAAAAATTTTATTCCAACTTAAAAGTTTTCAGATAGGAAAAAAAATGAATATTAAAACCATCAAGAAAATATGTGGAGAATGAAATAACCAACGCTGCATCACATTTATATAAAAACAAAGAATAAAGATTGTAAAGTATAGCAGCTTTCACAAATACGAAGTTTAGCATAATCTGCAATGAAAATATTTTTTCATTATGCAAAGATTTTCGTGAAGTTGAAAGCGCGGACAATGTTTTCCAAAAAAAGAGTAAATTCGATTAATTGCCAGCAAATTAGACAATTTTGCTGATGCCGGAATATTTGCATGAAGTTGGCCACTCGTCCCTATATTTCTGGCACCACTACCAGAAATTTCTTATCATCATTGATAGCCAGAGAAGTAAGCCTAGCCAGAAACGGAGAACCAATTATTGAGATAATTTGCCGTTTTGCCTATTTTTTAGCCTTAGAATAAATTTCAGCAATAAAGATGTAGTAGACATGTCCAGTTAAATGAACGCAAAAGTTCTCGATCGAATTTCACAACGAATGAATATGCCACAGCAATTAAATACTTGCCTTAAAAATGGGCGTTTAAACCTGTCATTATAGGAGAAATGTAATGGATAATCCTAATTTATTAAATCACTCGTGATTTGGTTCCGTCGGTTAGAAATCTAAGTAATGCGGGAGGTTTGCTAAGACTTGCCTACAATTTTTGAAAATTCTCATCCTGATGTGTAGAAGCTTAATCATAAATTATGAGTGCTAACTACTAGTTAAACCTGCTATTGCGCTTGGTGCTGCAGACTCATCTGTCCCGCTATTTCATATGAATCTCTGGCGAAACAGCCTTAGCCTAATAGTTAGTGAAGCTAATTAAGTGAGAAATGGTGAATGCTAAATGAAGTGAAAAATGAATATTGAGCTCATTTGACCATTTAAAATGGAAGTAAATTTAAAATAAGTGATTTAAAAATAAATCGCCAAGCGAAATCAATTAACCAGTGAAGGTTTGGTTAAAAAATTTTGGCGAAAATTTTTTTCAGTTGTTTCATTGCAAATGAATTCATCTCATTTTTATAGTACCAGACATATAACTTTTTGATTTTCAAACAGGTTTCTTGCATTTGTCAATCAATTATTCGATGAATTCGACCTGTAACTCCCACATAAAAATGCAAAATTTGATGCATGATACAGTTTCTTATCACTCATCGATAATATTTCTTATCATTGATAATAATGAGCATTATTTAAACGCTCTATATAAAAGTGCTCGTAGGTTATTGCACAAAATTTTTTAGCAAAACAATTTATTGAAAGAAAGTGATTGAGGAATATTTGAAATCTTAAGCAGCAGCTTAACCGAAAGAAATTTTATGTCGGCCAATAAATTTAGCAATTATCTCGATTAACTAATAAGAGATTCAAATATTATAAATATCATGGAATCTTTTGCGAAAAATTTCGCTTTTTCTTATCCATGGATTTCAGCTTTTCCCATAAATTTTCACCAACATTCATTTTAAATAAACTTTCAAGAGAAATATAACGAAATCCCTTGCAATCGGAGTAACCGACTTTTGGCGATGAACGCCTTAACTTTTTTATGCACAAATTATTCGGAGCATAATGAACTATTGTTGCGCGAACATTGTTTTGATTCATCGTAATTCATAAAAGTTTAGCGATTTAATAAAATTAATCGAATGATGAGTCAGGAAATTCAAGTTGAATTTTAAAAAATTTAAAAAATCGCTGTAATACTTGACGAATTCGAGGAAATGACTGTTTTACGAAAACATAATTGATTCTGGATAATTTTCTCCTCTATAGCGCAGGAAAACATCTCTGTTTCTGTAATGAGCTATTGGGTTAATCAAAATTTTAGCTTTGTTCATTAATTATTGCTTGCGGATATAGTCCAGTCATGCTATTTCAATAGACTTTCAAACTTTGTACAGTTTGTCCTCAACTTGGTCATTGTATTGTTGATACAATTAAGCACGCTTATGAGGACTCATATTTTTATTATTTATTCATCAATTAATGTGTGAAAAGACTACAGTGGAAGTGGAAGATTACAGTTTAAAATAATAAAAGGCCGAATATACCAGAATTCCATTCACGGGATTTCCTAGCCTTTTTAGAACCCTTATAAAAGAATTAATTTTCACCGATTCTCCCGATCCCCTTAGAATTTTCATTTTTTCCAAAGATTTTGTATATCATACCGTGTGAATTAACAAAAAATTAGATTTTTCATTCCGTAGTCAAATATATTTTCGCCAAAAATGCTAAAAATTTACGGTCTTTCATTAAAGAACCATTCTATATATAAGAAAATTCTTGATTGCTTACATGGATGAAACTCGCCTTTTTTGAAAAAATTGCAAAAAATACAGAAACTAATTATAGTGACATATTATTTAAAATAATAAAAGCGTGTATGTTATGTGCTTTTTCAATAACATAATTTGAAATTTATGTGGAATTTTCAAAAAAGAATAAGCATTTGACTCGTCTATCGACCAGCAATCGATCTGTTGAGGTCTAGATCCCCAGAGAACCACATCGATCCCCATTGGAAATCCTTATGCTATCCATCCGACCCCATTACATGCCATTATTTTATATTTTGTCATAGAGCTGAGTTGCAATAAATTATGAAATTAAGGTGCGAGAAATACCACAAATAACATAGAACGATGACGAGATATAAGTTACTAAAGCTTATATGTAAAGCAAGGTTGAGATCCTTTAGCATTTATTTATTCGTGCAGCGAGTTAGTGGAATAATCTCGCAATATATACTCCATCTACGCCCGTTTTTAGAGGACATTACGTAAGTAAGTCCATAGAATTGTTTAGCCATGGTCATTTATATATATTGTATATATAGTGCAACCGCCGCCAATCGTTCAAATCGCCTCAAGCATTGAGATTCGGATTTTAGCAGCCATTAAAAAATTCGAGTGGTGGTGGTGGCCCACCTCCACTTCTATGGCCATATGACTTTCCGGCAAATTCCATTCCTCATTCCATTAACAGCTAATGGAACAAGCCTAATCAAAAACGGTGACTGCTTATATTTCTAAACAAATAGAAAATATAATTCAGATCTAGAATTCGGTGGTTTTATGGTTAGTTTTCCATATTAAAATAATGTTAAATGATCAAATCATATTTCACTAAAACTGCTCGTCGAACTAAATGCTGTAAATTGCAAAAACAGAGGTCAGAAATGAAATTTTATTCGAAAAAATTTCGAAAAAGTTGTAAAAAAAGTTAAAAGTTGTCATAAAGAAATTGTCAAATTTCGTTAATTTTTAATCTTAATTTTATAATATGATAATTATAAAAAATAAAAAGATTGAACTGCACCATTAAACAGGTTTTTTTGCTTTTCTTTTTTAATGATGAACGAAAAAATAAATAATTATTAGGTAAAAAAATTAGAATTATCCATATGAGTAGAAGAAAAACTGCTAGGTAGTGAATATGGCATTCGAAAATTGGTTTTTTTTTACCTAAAAAACGAGCATAAATGAGTGATTATCGAAGTTCTACGCGATTTTCTTTTAAGGAAATCGAGATTCATCGAGATTCTACGGAAATCTGGCAATCTAGGCACTATGCTTTTAGCAAACTCAACATAAACACCAATACCTAGCAACAAAACAAAATTGCAAATTAGAAACCAATCAATCACTCTTATTATTAGGAAATACTGCATCTGCACCACACCGTTCGAATCGTTGTGTTTTCAGGCGGCTTTGTCAGTTGCAAAAGTAAATTTCTGCGGATTATTGAGGCTTTTTTGGCGTGGACCCATACCCCACTGAAGAAATTTAATTAAAAATTCAAAAACAAAAACAACGTGAGGAAATGTTCCGTTTGAAGATATATTAGTATTCTATTGCAAAAACAAAGTACTGCGAATAATGAATGAACTTCTCTGGATGGCACTTTCAAAAAAGATAAAGAAAAAATTGACCTTAGCAAAAACGGTGGAATCATCCTTTTCGGAAACACAGCACCATAAAATGCAAGTAACTGAAATAATAAAAATTATAGCAAAAAAAGAAATCCATACAGCTAACGGACCAAAATAATCCAACACATCGAGCTGTTGTTTTAAATCCACCATTATAAAACTCTGAAATTAATTCATTAGCAAATACTGTGCTTAACTCAACAAAGTCAAGGTACCATTTTTCGTGTAATTCGTGTCGCAATTTATACTACATTACATAGGTGAAAAAAATATTGGAATAGTGAAAATTCAGGAACACCAAAGTATAGCGGAAAACTAGTTGCTCTGCTATTAACACTAAAAATGGCCATGGTAACGCCAAGTCTACCGTAAATGTTCTACGCATCGTCTTAGACCCATTTTCAAATCTTGATATGAACTTTCGCATCACCAGATATATTTCATAAGATCCATTCGAATTCCGCTCCACTGTTCCAGTCTCTGTTATTCTTCTTTAATAATCTTTCCTTTTCTCATCCTTTGAGATCTCGTAATTTCTGGCTGCAGCCTCGGTGTTGCCAGTTTTAATGAGGCGTTAGAAAATATAATGGATATAGAATGAGTACAAGAAACACACGCACCGTCAAAAGTCTTTTATTATTAAAATAAGTTTTTACAAAACCAATTCAGATTTTGATTTATGATAAGCTACGGTCTAAAAATTCCATTAATGGCCAAAACGATATCGAAAACGATGTAAAAAGCGGATATGAATACAATATACGATACTTTTCTAATTTTAAGACCTTATTAAGGTACCAATCGACAGAAATGACGATTGCTAATCGCGAATTAAACCAGCCATTAAATATGATTATGTTATCATAATAAGTTATCAATCGACAGCAAAGAAACAATCATCTTATTCCACATAGTGATTAAAAGCATAATCGGAGATTATTATTAGCAAACCATTCTTATTTTTTACATTTATTGTATTTTAACTAAAGATTAAAGTTAAAAAAGTGAGTAATAATGTTCACTGACTATAATGAGAGTTTTATCAAAAAGATATTTGGTGATAAAGGAACCAGCAGCACAATTCTTACTGTTTGGTTCACTCCAAGTGGAGCTCTTTAATGGTTCTCAAGATGATAATCTGAGCAACAACCACTCGCCTATGCTGCCTTCACGCTTTATATTTTAAATTGAACAAAACTGAAGAACATATGAGCAAAACGAAGGAAGGAAGCATTGCTGAACCAATCAATGCTATTATTCATAAAGCACTGAAATAATTGTTGCAACCATCCACTGCACTAAAAATCTTCAACCTTCAATTTTCGGGAAGAAAAGTTACTGGAAATTTTTTTCGGGTAATTTCCTGGTTTTGGTTCCTTTTAAATTTTAATTTATATGTCGAATCGAAAAAGAAAAAATAACGAATGGCGTACGTTGCAGACAACAAACAAAATGCTTCGGGCATCAATATAATTCAGCTTTATCGCTGCAAAAAAATTTATTAAACTGATGAAAAATTTTGAATGAAATTTGGCAGAACTTTAGACTTCAGGAGTAAAATTTCAACCAAGCACGATGTTCAAATGTATTGGAAAATTATGGTTTTCTGCTCGTCGAATTTGCCACTAAAATGAAATACGAGAAGTGATAAGGGCCTAGGCATGTTCCATTCACAAGTAAATCTTTAAGGCGAATAGTAAATATGGCTAGTGAAATTAGAAAATATAGAGACTAGCCAAATCAATGGACAGAAATTTAATTATGTTGAGGAGGCAGATTTAAACAAGACATGTAAATATCCATCCATTTATAGCAGTTATTCGTTCTATTCTTCCCATTTTCCATATCGCCAACAGTTGTTTTTTATCGGCTGTAAAAGGGAACCTCGTTAATGCAAATAAAAAACGCTGAACACAGGGGATCCTTCAAAGATCCAGAAAGCAGGCAAATATAATGGAACCATTGCACGACAGAGGCAAATCATCACTTGTCGCGTATCTGATTATGCGACTCAAGAAGCGCTCGCTCATTGTTCCAATATTTATCATCAGAACATTAATAACCAGAGATTGTCCCTATTTAAATGAAAAAACGTTATTCGGAAAAAGATTTGCGTATCAATGTCGCTGATCCCACTGCCGCAGTTATATAAATGCCAGCCAAGGCAGTAAAGAACGGTTTCAGCACGGGCAATCAAGTGACTATGGGGCGAAAGCAAATGCGATTGCAATTTGAGCAAGAAGAAAGGCTTTTCGATCGGATTCAGCGAAAATATTAGAGAAGCAAAGCGTCAATCAATGAAATAACAGTCAACGATTGGGGTCACTCTGGAGGTCATTCCGATTTGTAACGAATTCATCGAGTGAGAGCTGTGATATGTTAAGGGACAAATTTGAGATCTGACGCTGCGTAGAAAATGTACCCTTTCGTTTTATCGTTTATAAATATTTTATTGCTACGGTCGACATAAATACACTACGAGCTTTGAGAAGGACGCGTCAGCGTATCGAATTTTTTCTTATCAGCCAGACCATTTTAAAATTCGTATGATAATGGCATAGATTCTGAAGAATATTTTATTTATTTGAAACAGTGCGACAAGCGCCATCTCCTTGCATTAGTAACAACGAAAAGTGCCAAATGAAAAGAAATTAGTGATAACGACATAAAATGTTATTGTTATCATTAATGAAAAAAGTTAATAAGTGGTTAGCCTAGGCAAGTTGCACTAGATGTATGGTCAGTATGGTAAGAAATTTTTGCCAGTGAGTCACTTGGTCATAGAAAGTGCCAGCCAATCCCCAGCAGAATTTTTTAATGATAGATTAAAGTCTGCTAGAGGCAAAGTTCGAACTTAACTCTCGAGTCGAAAATTCTAAGCAAAAATACTCGGCTATCCATCTCTAAAAAAATTTGATGGAAGCATTGGAATTTTAAGGATCATGAAAATAATAAAAATCCAATGTTTCAGACTAGTTCATGAGCAATTTATGATCCAGAATTAATGAAAATCCAGTAAAATTTCACGTTGCAGTATCAACTCTGACTGAACTGATTGTCAGTTGAAACTGACAAAGCATTTATTTGAGTAAAAACTTATCACACTCCGTATATTTTCAAAAAACAATTTGTGTTTATACTTTGGCCATGCAGAACAAAAAAATTGTTTATCGCAACCGAAGAAAATTTTTCTTCCTCTAGCAACACCCAACATTTTCCTTTGACTTGGCGCACCCTTTCGCTAGCGAATCACTTGAGGATGAAGTAGATGAATGAATCCCATTATCGACAGCCGAAAATTGCTCACTAGAATTGCTTTAACCAATACGATAATGAAATAATGAAATTGAATTTTAAAAAATATTGTATTTCTGGAAAAACACAATAATTTAAAGGAATTTGATAAATTGATAAGGGATATAAGAGAACAAATAGATTAACTAGTCATCCTCACCATCCTTATTTAGCAGCACTGGTTTCGTTAGCTTCATTCACTATTACGATGCACTATGATGTCGCCATCTGCAGAATCATCTGCAGAAACGAGGTACAGCTGGATCTCACAAATTATTTATTGGTTTGGAATTTAAATCGACCAGTTAGCTTAATTCAAATTAAAATTTAAATTTCAGAAAAATTTCATTTCAAAATTATTTTAATTGTTTTTCATTTCAATATTTCTTGGATGGATGAAATTTTACAAATTATTTTCCAAAAATTTTCTTTACTTCAAATTATTTAAAGACAAAAAATCTATAACTTGTAATTTCTTATGCCAGTTTTGCCGTTTGTAATGCTTTGCTTTCAGGCAGTTTCTTACGGAAGTTATTTATTTATTTATTGTATTATCTATATGTTCCGCTTTTATTTCCTTTTAGGAAGCCGCAGGAACATTTTTATCTCTTTTTGGATCCACATTAATAGTTCATGGTTCGTTAACTAAATTAAACAACATTAAAGCATAAAAAAATGGGCTATAAAAGGTTTACAGCCGAGTGATTGTTGTTCAATCATCGTATTAAGTTGTTTGAATGAGTAAGCCTGTCGTTAAAAAATCCACGTCGTACTGAGAATCCAACTGCACTCTGTCCTTAAATGATTCCACGCCTAATCCCAGTAACAAGCAGTGGAATGAATGAGATTAAGCAGAAAAGGTGGTCGCTAACCTCTTGCTTATTTACTTTAATGGTGTACTTTCTAATTTCATACCGAGTTTTAATTCATCTTTAGCGCTTTACCAATCCGGTATCTTTAAACCATTCGTTGCCGACGTTTTATAATATTTGGTACTTGCTAACAATTTCCACAATGTTTTTATTTCCTTGACTGCCACAGTCGTTTAGTTAATACCATTGGCTGGCTATTAGTATGAGGGACTCTCTCGCCATGGAATTTGAGAATAGAATTACAGACTGTCGCTAGCTTCGCGATTAAACTGCACAATTTAAGCGAATAGACGATGTAATAGTTATTTTAAAAAATCCTGATTCCTCAGTGAACGAGCAAAAACAAATTAAAAGAGAAGTCGTATCGACCACAAAATTTAAAATATTTTTTGCAAATTCTTTTTTAAGGGCTAATTTCCCTATTATTATTGCGATGAAATCTTCACGAACTTCATGAAAATCTTCTTTTTAACGAAAAATCTTATATTAAATCTTATCTTATTTTATCTTACGAAAAATCTTAATTTTTCCGTTGTGTTACGACCACTGAAAATCTGTCGTCGGTTTCAGCCGGTTTCATTTGCAGACAACTTAAATTTGCGCCAAATTATTTATTTGCAACGAACAACGAATTTTGCATCGTTTAGGCGCTACGTAATGCAGTTGAATATAACTGCAAGCTGAGAAATCACTTGCTGGTAAATTCCCTTGTAAAGCAAAAGCTGAAAAGCCTTATCATCTCGAAAATAAAAATAAATTTAGTGTTAATTATTTGGCAGTTATATTCCATAGAGTTAAATCACATAGCAAGGCAGAAAATTCCGAATCTTCCACAGGAAGAAGAAGTCTCCCACTGAGAATTTTCTTATATGTTGACTCAGCCATTCCATTAGGAGACTACTTGCTCGATGGTTCAAGTGCGAGCAACAGCTAGGAAAGAGACTAGCCGAATGGCCAACAGCTCAGAGTCCTTCCAATATCCAGTCTTTTAACTATTGTCCAAGAGCAAACCTGTGGCTAAAAATATGAGAGATGCTGGCGACTCATCTGCTATTCACCCCAAATGTCGAAAATTTCTAACCGTATTGAGGAATGAGTCTAACCATAAAGTTGGTGAGCGCCGTTTTATTTACTTTATGCAGTTGGCCGCGATTTTATTTTCGTTATTTCTTGGCTAAATTGGCTAAACTCGACAGAGTGATAATATCATAATTGATCAGTTCAGTTTATGATTCTTAAACGACTTTATAACAATTCTTTAATAGTTTTCATATCGTCGAACTGATTAAATTCCAAGTGAAAATATTGCAAAATTCTTAATTTCAGGTGACAAAAAAAACCCTTCAAATAGAAAATATTCTTTGAAATTTCACTCTTCATTTGTATGCAATAGCGAATCAAAATTAATCCTTTCCAATTTTCCCAAAAATATATTGTAAAAACTTACGTAATTTTTTAATAACTGATACAAGAACATTTAGGCGAAACATTTCGTATTTTGTGGTGTTGGCGACTCAAACGACAACGAAACATCGCTAGTAAAAGCAAATTTCTCTCTTCAGTGATCCTTAAACAGGTAGTACACCTGCTTAGTAGGGATATCTCAGATGCATATCTCAGATTCAGCCCGGTTAGTCACGGAACTGCTACAATTCTAGGACGCTGCATTGTAGTATAGCCAACGTGATTGTTGTTGAGATGATCGAGTTAAGCCTCGCGATCTGAACGAGTGAACCTGTTATAAACGAGTAATCAAAGATTGCTCTTCGACTGGGACTCAGTTAATATAAATGGGAGATTTCGGCAAATTTTTTCATTATAAACCACGTTTATCCACATCCGAGGAACACTGCTTCTGGATTTCGCTAAAATGCACTGTGGAACTCCACACCACAACACGAGGTTCCAATAACAATGCACATAAATAACCTTATCGCCCGAATGCGTCGCTCGTTCACAAACCACGAATGAAAAAATGCCGAAAAAGTTCGGAGGCTGCACTGTAGTACTTCCATGCCCCGCTCTAATTTAGATGCAAGAAACTCGACGACGACCAGCTAATCGTCTTCACCGGCAAGTGTCCAGCAGCTACCATTGTCGTCCGTCAGTTCACCGATATTTTTACGAAGGTTACATTGCAGATCGAAGATTAGGAGAATCTAAATACTTGAAATGTTCCTCGGTTAACGCTTATTCGTGATGTTCGTGAAAATTGTTGAGAGCCTATTCTTAAGTGATTTTGTAACGGTTAATGCAGCTAAAACTTTGCCGCATTTTGAGCGATTTAACGTTAGTAATGTTAAATTTTTTTAATGTTTCTTTAATATAATTTCGATTAATTCATTTGTCTAAATCAATAAACAATCAATAAATATACTTGGTGCGCGAAGGGGTAATTGTGCCCCGTTCAAACAAACAAGCTTGCATGGAGATCTTATAGCAGCGCTCGTCGTCTCCGACTTCGCTGGTCGCACTGGCCGCGATTGGCTAGTTCCAAGCCTTTCGCGAGAATGTGCGATTATTTGACAATTTAAATTCATGAATTCTGCTTATTTTATATTATTTTAAATATTGGAATTAAGGTTTTTCGATTAGTTGAAAATACGCAATAATATTAGCAATTGACTTAATAAACATTATTAATGAACCCATAGGAACTGTTTTGTTGTTTTAATTCTCTTTCGCCATTTGTTTTTTGCTCAGATAACGGATGTGCTTACGGTTTCGACGTATCGGATCCATGCGAATTCTCGACTTCCTCATGTTAACTATCATTACCAAATGATTTATGACACGTTAACGCAGCGACTGCTTACCAATCAGTTGCTAGGTAAGAAATCACTTTTCTTCTAATTTTCATTCCGTTTATCTAAAATGACTTTGGGTATTTCTAAGCCTTTCGCGAGAATGTGCAGTTATTTGTGTGGGCATAATAAATGAGCCTTCGTACGTTGTTAGAAAATGAAAAAGACATTTTAAAAAATAGCCAATTAATTAGAAAATAGTCAAATTAGAAGAAGTTCCACAACTGATTCCAGGAACGTAAAAGTAATTCCACAAAGAATAGCAGTTAGTACAAACGAGGATGTATACGACTCATATATTCGACTCATTATATTTCCTTAAACACCACTTCAAATTATGAAAAAATAAAAGATTCACTGCGATATAAAAATGCAATTAATTGATTTGTTTTTTACAATTATTATTCTCCCTGTGCTTCCACTTTTTAAATACTTACTTATTTTATTCTTTAGAACGTTGCCTAACGACAATTGAGAAAAGTATTGCTAATGGTGGAAATATTGTTGTGCATTGGTACGATTATTTTTCATTTTATTTTCCACAGAATTGATTAAATCGAATTTCAGTACTTTCAAATTAATTTTCATTTTTTGAAATTTCTGTTTAATTTAATTCAAAAAATATAAACCAGAATATGGTCAACTTTCTTTCTTACTTGCACTTATTAATTATTTAAATTAAAGTTAATGTAATTAGAAAGCAACTAATGAAAAATTCGTTATCAGTGAGGCAGGAATTTCACGATCGGTTACAATTATTATGGCTTATTTGATGAAAACTTATGAATGGACCGTTGAAGAAGCTTTCAAATACGTTGTGAAACTCCGACCAGTTGCACAGTAAAATATTCATTTTCTCCTTTTTTTTGTTTTAAATTCCAGTATATTCATTGCAAATAGGATAGGATAGAATGTCAATAAAATTCAGAAATAATGCAAAAATTTAATTAGGAAAATTTGTTTATTAATTTCAACAGTTTTAATTTTTAAACTTCAATGTTTTCAAAAAAAAGTTGAATTTTTCAGATGCATTCATTAGTTCCATACGTTTTTTACAAGTTTTTTTCAGAAACAAAATAAAAAATTAATAATGTAAATTTTTTAAGGAGCTTTTTTTTCAAAAAAGAATACTTTCAGAATATATAGAATATATATTTTGAATATTTAGAATGAAATAGTTTCTTCTGATTCATTTACTTATGTTAAGTAATACCTCAACGGTTTTGATGGATGACTTATTGACTCATTCCGTTTCTGCATAAAAGAGGATGTAATCCGGGCATATTTGAAAAAATTTTGGATTTTAAGATTCATTTTTCAACTTTTTGCCCAAGTATACGATGGAACGACTCCATGAAGTTATATCTTCTTAAAATGATTATGCCAAGTTTAACGCTCGAGATTACTTGTTGGTTAAAGACAAATAAACAGTGGTAGTTTTTAGTGGTGCTGTGAGAAAAGAAAATCTTATGAATAAAAGTTGTGTCATAAGAAATATATTTTAATGAATTTTATATTCTAACGCAATCGTTCTTTTCAAGCGACTAAGGTTCAAGCGAAAAGTATTAACGGTATTCCCTGCAACATTATTTGTTTGGTATATGAATGGTTGAGAATTCGGTGTGCTGCGTGATTAGTGCCATATGAATTTTCCAATGTTAATCAAAAAGTGTGATGAAGTTTTAAAAATCTTTCAACTAACGTATTTTGGGGAAAATTCAGTGGGTTGTCAAAAGCATCGGTGAGGATTTTGGTTTAAAAATACTTCACCTTTCTGCTTTGGCATTTATACTAGAGGTCTGTGAAGAGGAAAAATTGTCGGCAATCAAGGGGTATAATCAGAAGATCTTGAAATCTTATCACCAACATTGATTCTTCACTATGATCTCTACATATAGTGCAGACCAAGGATTTCTTCACACATAAAGCATTTTTCCAAAGCAGCAATGGTTCAGGCGAAAAGTGCTAATGATCTTCTTTGATATATTATTTATTCCCACATAAATCCTGGAAGCTGGGAAAATATAGAGAGCAGTATGTTGGAATATATAAAGCATAATAATAGAAGAACAAACTGACATATGACTTGGCATATGATATCCTGTTATTTCCCTAGATTGCAAATCAAGTAAATTAATTGAAGGCCTACCAGAAATACTTTGTAAGTCATCTCTCTCCTATTAGTAATCTTAATTATAATACAAAACACCACAACCTAGACAGGTTGTCTGTTACTCCGACGAATTAAGGTGTAATTTATATAGATGAAATTTTATAGTTATGTTAAATTGGATTGTTCCAAATATTATAATTTTAAAATCTGAACCTAAATGAGATCTAATGGGCTAAAAACTTTTTGCAGAACTAAATTAAGAATTCATGATTTTTTTATTCTTGCAATTTAATTGTTAGAATAGGATATCTGATAACGTAATATATAGTATGGATATACACCATCATCGTTAGTTATTTTTTGAAAAAAGATTAAACAGTATCCATGTTATTATTTAAAAGTTTCATTTCATGCAGGAAATTCAAAATTATGGCCTTTCTTTATGCCATTTTTTGTAGGTAGTATAGTTCCATAAGATCTTTTCTTTGCACTGGTTCTACATTTTTTTATATTTTACACTTATATTTTATATCATATCACTAATTTCCTTTCAATCTTTTGGTTCAAGTTTGTTTGGTTTGGTTTGGTATATGGTATCTTGTTTATTCTTCAAATAAATAAGGACATGGAAGATAAGTGCGAGCGGCTTCTCAAGGATTGTTTGAAAAGAAAAAAAATCTATAAGCTGGGAAAAAAGGTTTAGAAATATGGTTATAAGCTGAGAGAAAGAATTTTCTTAGATTTTTCTGAACGTATTTCTCATAGTTCGTCTCTCTTTATTCTTATCCTTTCTCTTTACAATTTTTCTTTTTTTATTTTCTTGATTTTTTTTTCTTTTCTAATTCGTTGACTCAGCGTTTTACAAACACATTTTTATGTATATTTGCATGTCGTATTAATTTATATATTTTTTTTTAAAATGAAAATCAATCTTCAGTGAATTAATTTCTTAATTAAGTGAATTCAGGAATTAATTTTTTAAATGTATGCTTTTTAAAATTTAACTTATTAGGGCCTTTAAATATGTTTTAATTAATAGATTTTTAGTACTTTATCAGACGATTTATTAATAGAAAATCATCCGTTTTTTTGACGTCAAAATAAAAAATTGTTCCATTTTTTTTAAAATTTTTTCCAGAATTTTTGACCATTTTGACCATTTAGGATTCCAAATTCTGGGATTTTTGCGATTTTAATATAGATCGTTATTTCCATTTTACGATAGAATTGCGAAAAAATAATAAGCATGGATGAGCTTATGGCTGGACTCGAAACTAAGGCAGCAAAAGTTGTGATGTAGAGTTCGACATTTCCATTTCTGTTGGGTTTTATGTTTTACCACCAATTCATTTCTGTGATTCTCCCACTGATTCATTTTATGATGTTTTATATTCATCATTAAGATGGCGTTATTTGAACTAGCAATGTCGGAGATGGCGGAGAGATGAATTATAGAGTTCTGAGGGTACCAAAGGAGAGATTGTGGGGAAGTGAAAGTGAAGAGTGTGGAGCAGTGGGAATTAGAAGATAATAAAATTGGAAATCTTTAAGAGATTTAGGATGGGATGAGAAGCGTAGAGCAACAGTGGAAGCGTAGATGAGGAAATGGGGGCATATATAAGCTGGGAGTCGATATAGGATCATGGGAAGGAGAGTTAGGCCCTGGAAGGATATTTGAAATATTTAAATCCAAAATATCTACTGAACCATAGATAGTATAAGATTACTTGCTATTCGTTGTATTGAGCTGTTTTGTTGATTTAAGATATTTTTTTTTCTATATTTCTTAAAATGATTTCCGATTTTCTCCTTCATTGTTTACGATTGCAGGCCTAATGTGAATTTTCTCAATCAGCTAAAAATTTTCGAAAAATGTCATTATAAGACGGATTCTATAACATTGTCGAAATGCGTTGAGGCTATAAATATTCCTAATCAAGTCGGATGCTATATTAATTGCCTCGGTATTTCTTGTGGATAAGGCTTTTTATTATTTGCTGCCTCTATGACTTTTAAATTATCCTATATCGACTTAAATTTTTAAATTAAAAATTTATAAATTTATAAATAAATTTATAAATAAATTAATTTCATGTTAAATTAATATTTTGCATTTGCTGAAATATTAGATCAGATTTTTCGCTCTTTTGGACTAGCTGTTTCGATTCTTCAACTTATCCAAAATATTTTTGGAGATCTATTTTCTTTTTTTTTAAATCTATTAATGTGAAATTCAGAATATCCTGTTTTTTCTAAAAATGAAAGTCGTATTGAAGAGGGTATTTATCGCTGTCGAAAGTGTAGACAAGCATTGTTCTTTAATCAGCATATTGTGAAACACGCCAGTCTAAATGAGCAGAAAGATTCTTTGGGTGAAAAAAATTCAGCGTGCAAATTGCGATATATCGTGGAACCACTAAAATGGATGGCTTTGGATGCAGTCAGTGGAAATGTAAATTTTATTTTTTATTTACAGAGAAAATGAGGAAAATGAGGTATAAGTCATCTGATCCTCAGCGATATCCATCTTCTGGTAAACAAAGGAGAACATAGATGTTAAAGTTGATTTTAAGATTGTGGATATGGTATTGATGAAGTAAGTTATTGATTACTCTTACCATTCTAACAACTCTTACCATTACTGGTTAGGCTGGCTTCAACGGCTATAAGGGTTTCAAGCGGCGCGATCTGATGCCATCGTCGACAGTAATGGAAGCCTTCCTTTTTCCATCGTCTAAGCCCATCCATCACACGGTAGCGAAATATGCGTCAACTCCTGTGGTGAACGACGGAGAACGTGCCCTGAGAACTAGCGAAGGCGACACTCTGATAATAATATTATTATTAATAATAATATCCATTACTAATGTAAGTGGTGTTTGAACGAAGGTGGATGTGATATTTTACCCGCTCGATATAAAATATAACCTAGACGAGAGTGGTCAAAGTTAGATAGCTTCTTAATAACCTCCACTGTCATTGGCCATGTCTCAGAGCCATATAGCAAGATCGAACGAATCCCGGCTATATAGATGCGGACTTTCGTTTTAATGGTAATTTCACGAAGGTTTGGTCAACCGGAAGAATTTTAGCTGCCGTGGTCCGGGTTATAATATTGTTTTTTGCCTGGCCGTTTGGTATTAGGGTGGATCTAAGGTATTTAAAATCAGGCATTTCCTCGAACGGCAATAAGTGTTAAGACTGTTGAATAAAAGAGAAGCAAAATTTTCGCTGAGACGTCTAGTAGGATGATTCCTCGATAATTGTCGCAGTATTTCCTATCACCTCCCTTGAGAATTGGGAGCAGAATTGCTTTGCTGCAGTCATCTGGTAATATTTCTTTTTCCCATACCAGAGAGTACATTGAAGATGTGTTATGAAAAACGATGGACAACATTTAAAGAATTTAGCCTGAAGACCATCTTCTCCCAGAGTCTTATTGGTTTTAAGTTTATGGATAACAGATATTATTTCTTCTTCTATCGGGGGCTCGCAGTTGCAAGCATATGGTTCAGCGGACGTATCAGTTATATCAGGGGTAGCAGATGGCGTCCCTTCATGGTAATAATATTACTTTATAAAGAATAGGTATAAGAATTCCTAATAGGAATTTGCGTTATTAACAGATGAATTAATAATTGAAAGGTAAGGTATACAACAAATGAAACGTATGAAATACTAGTAGAAGTTGTGATGGCATGGATAGTATGGAGAGATAATTGGTTGGCGAACGAACAGATTTGGCTGATAGTTTTAATACTTCAATAGTTTATTATATTATTCGAGAAAAAAATCAAATGTCGTGGGGATTGTTTCAATCATTATATCTGAAAATGCTATCTTGATTTGCTGTTTAAAATCTTTAAGAGCAGTTTTTTACTTGATAGTCATTTTCTTATTTTTTTTTATAGATTCGGTGTTATAAATGTGGGGAAAAACTTGGTGATTTTAATTGGGCTGGCAAATTTTGTAATATCACATATGAACATGGATGCGGTGCATTTGGTAGGTCTTATTTTATGTAAAATAAGGTGGAACTTAAAATAAGGCAATAGGCGGGAACTTATTTAATAATAATATAAAACAATAATATTTCGGACCCACTCTTATACCTATGGTCAGACGAAAAATGCTAACTTGGATAGCCAACAACAGCGAAAGATTGCCTTTTTTCGTCTGATAAAGCCTTCCTTGGAATTGCCGCGAAATGAAACCCAAAAAGACGAAAGGCCGTAATGCACAGATTCACAATTGTCAGTCCAGTGAGATTGGAATATTTAAGGAAGACGTTTGCTTTTGGTTATCATTGCCCAATTTTGTATTTACATACCCGCTAATAGAATATTACGTGATTGCCCCCATTTTTGCTTGAAAATTATCCACATTAATGCCGCCTGTGCTGATTAGATTATGATCTATGATTAATACTTATCTCGCTGCTACTGAACCCTGTGATGGTTGAAAACTAGTAGGTCCAAAAATCATCTGAGCGATATACGAGCATAAGTAAAAAAGTGGCTTCAGTTACTTTTAGGAATGAATCAGGAAATTTAAGAACATCTCATCCCAATGGAGCGGGCCAAATAATTCGACCTATTAGAAGATGAAATCTGATAAATACTCATATTACGATTTAATAAAAGAAAAAATTTAGATAATTTCACTTCAGTGGAAGAAACCGAAAGTTCCGCATTGTTTAATTTTTCTTTTATACCCCTCTCAAAATTTAATTTTAATTCCATTTATAAATTTAAATTAAGAAAAACTGATCCTAAAAAAATTAATATTAAAAGAAATTTTAAAGATGAAAATATTTTTGAAAAATTCTGGTAATATCTGATAATATCTTTTTTCAGTTGTACCGTGGGTCTTTATCAATGAGAAAAAAGTAGATCTGTGCACGGTTTCATCTAACAGTAATATTATATTGCCGATTATTCCTGTATGCAGTGATTCAAACGAAAGATATAACAGTCCAGAAGATTCGCGAAGTTTTAATAGTTTCACTGTTAAGCGAACATCAGCTGACTGCTGATACGCATGTACTTATACATACAACAATATTAATATTATTGGAAATGTCAAATATTTTTTTCTATTCATAGTTTTCACTTATTATGGCACTGCACATTCTACTTAAAGCATTTGTTAGTGCAAAAATAGAATCATGGGAGAAGATAGGTGAAAATAGAGGAAAAGAAAGACAAGAAAGAGATATGGCAATTTCCATTTTACAATTTCAATTCCAGTTAGAATAACAATTCCATTTTCCATCTATTTAAATTTTTCGCAATTCCCTGTTTTAATTTTTTTTGGAAATAAATGTATAATTATTACTTATAATTATTTATTCATAAAATCAAACCGCTTGAGCCCAACAAAACCTTATAGCCAAATAGTATGTGTCGTTTTGTTGTAATGAAAGCAATATTTTTACAAAAATATATTGAAGTTATACCATTAAATGATGTCATAAATAACATAAATCACTTAACTTCATTTTAAAATTTAAGGTTCACATGCTACATCAACAGGTAATTTATTCTATATTTCTATCTTAAGCTAAGTCAAGTTCAAATATTGAAATATACAATACAATATACAATAATTCTTAAAGACTAACAGCGCTATGATTTTTAAATTAGAGAAGAAGAACAAAAAAAGTTCATTCAGAACCAATTATTAAAAATTAAGCATAATAAAATACGAAATGTTCTAATGGCAAAGTCTTGACACTCAGCCGGGAAAAAATGAAATCAGTCCTTGTCGCGCTGACGATCGACAACAGTCTCATGAATTTATTAGTTCAAGAAAAGAACCATCCTTAGGTCAACCAGTTTTCTTTCATCGATTTCACTCGATGTGGACATTAGATAAATTTTAAACTTATCATTATAAAATTCTTAGTATGAACTTCGTTTCGAAAATTTTAGAAGGTTAAGCAGATGAAAGAAGAAAAATAATAATACAGTCCGCTTTATGTCGATTAATTCTCCAAGTGTGGTCGATTGCGATGGAGAATATTTTAAATCTCACATAGAACACGTCTGCAGATGCCATAAAACTTCAGTTCATCACGCTTTATGCTTGGGCAATTTGGAAGCATTGGGCTCTCGGGTGGTTTACAAAAATCCTTCATGCTGTTGAGTATGTTGTACATCTAAAACTGCGGAGCCCAACTAATGTGCCAGTTTTTATCGACCAACGTAGATTTCTTGGTTCTCTTCAACAAGACGTTGTTGTCATGCGTTAGATAATTCTTTTCAGTTATCCCTTTTGATGGTTTTGTTCGTGTACCTTTCGAAAAATTTCAGCACGATGAGAGCTGAAATATTTTTAAGAATTTTGCCAGACAATCACAGATTTTAAAATGGGAATAAGTTTCGAGTGCTTAGAATGCGATATGAACTACGGTTTCATTCCAGTTGCATAGTTTGAAATCATCGTAAATACACTTTTTCAGGCGTTTTCTTCCATTTGTTCAAAAATCGGGGTACTTAGAACCAATGAAAATCGCTCGGCAGTGCTCCTATTTTCGAAAATATTCCTCTTTGAGGATGCTATCAAAACAACGAGAAAGAAGAGGAGAAAAATCTTTGCAACAGTTCATCGTAACAAGTCGAGTCCTAAAGAGAAATCTTTGATAAATAAAGCAAGGAGGTCGATATTCATTCAGAAGGCAATAGCATTCGACGTAATTTAATGCAGAAAGGCAAAGTTGGACGGAAAGTTTGTCCACAATAGATGGCGAATAACCCGAGTTGAGGCTGAAAGGCAAATCGGAGACAGAAACCCAAGTTCTCGACCAAATTTTCGCGAGTGAAGTTCACGGTCGATGAGCCTCACACACTAGCATCGACTTGGTCCCAACCACCAGCACCCATCTGACCCCACCCGACAATACCATCCAATCTATTAATCATGCTCTTGCGATACGAGCCAGTTAAAAATTTCGGAAATATTGTGCTGCAATATCTTCTAATTTCAAAACCTTGCAGTCCAGAGACCTCGTTGGCTCGTTGACAATTTCACGTAGCTGCATTTTAGTTGGCGACTTACGTGGTCTGCTTAATTCGTTAGAGGGGGAGATGGGGAGTGGGGAGGGGGGGGGGAGGGGATTTCGATTCGTCAATGCTGCTGTGATAGGATATTTTTAATGTTTTTTATGATTTTGGCTGTTGATTGCATAAAAATATTTTGTTTAGGTGAGTCCCAGCTGGGAATGTCATTTATAAATGTGATATTTAAGGGTTTTGTGGGTATTAGGCGTGTGAAGTCGTTATTTCTATATCTAAGAAGGGACGGTGGGGGAACATTGGATGTCTGTTGAAAAGGTTTTATTTTTATTATTTAGTCTTTTAATTTTACGTGTTTAATTTTCTCGTTCAAATTTAATTTTTTTTTCATGAATGCAGGAATTTAAATTTTTAATCGCTTTAAATTTTTTCGCGATTAATCTTTTTATCAGATTTAATTTCGAGCTCATTTTTAAATCCATTTTTAAAATTTCATCTGAAAATTGTTTCACTGGTGTTTTGCTGGCTTTTTCTTTCATTTATATGTTTTTTCAACTGTTCTTTTTTCCGCGGCGCATATTACGCCCGTGGTTTTCGCAATATATTCACCCGTTTTGTTTGATTTTTGCTTCAAGCTTAATGCTTCAAACTTTTCTATATATACTTTCCTAGTTGCCCTCACTGGTTTGGGATTTTTGAAGATTTTTCAAGTACTCAATTAAATTCTTTTTGAAAATGCTATTATATGTAAAACACAATATGGCATATTACTCCGATTTTTCGAAGCTGGTCATATGAATTATGCTATTCCGTAAACTTACTGGTAAGAAAATATGCCTATGGTGGAGAAGGCGAGTGAAAGATCAGATTACATAAAAAAGAATAATCTAGGAGATGTGAAATGCACAGAATCAAACTTGAAACAAAAACAAAAAAAAAGTATGGTATTGAAAAAAAATAGAGATTATGCAGATAGGCGTTAGATAATGAGGGAGTACCATATCTTGCTTTGTTTCTATTTTCAGGTTAACCACTTTGAACAATTATTATAACTAATTAATAATGGCGCCGAAGCAGCGGATGAATATCGCGAATAGTGCATTTAGTAAAAATGTTAATTCTCGTGGCAATGTGCAAAAAACCTTGGTATTTCTTCTTTTTTCATATTCTCATTTGGTTTAATTATTAAATAAATAAGAACTCGATAATTTATTGAAGAAATAGTTCTTTTTTCCATTGGGCCCTTTGAATTGTCGACGCTGTTTATCTTTTATTGGTTTGTTAATCCGATTCCGTTTTACTGTCTGTCTCTTTATTTCACTGTTTGCCGTAAAAACTATAGAAAATAATATTTGCTGCATTATTAATAAAACTTGAAGCTTTAAAATTATTCTTCGAAAAATATATGCGCAATAAAAAAGATAATTTTTGATATTGTAGTCTTATTTCAGAAACCGCAAGAAGATAAGTATGCAGCAGCACCTTGGCTTATTGGATTATTTGTATTCGTTGTTTGTGGCTCAGGTAATATGATTTTTTAGATATTTTAATTCATCTTCATTCTCTAGGTACATTTATTTTATTTATAGCTGTATTTGAAATAATCCGTTATGTAAAGATGGGATGGTAGTTTAATGATGTCACTTAATCGATGTCAGGTTGTTGCACGGGTGCAGTTTATGAGAAGTTGGGACTTTGTCGTCATTGTTATTCTTCATCATATTCCAGTTTTAACTTACCTTTTTATTTTATGATTATTTCCGACAAGTTTAATTATTTTTAGTTCCTAATTTATTTTTTAAATAAATTTTTATTGTAAAAATAGCGTAAAATTTGCGTAAAATTTGTTATCACATGTTTGTGTATTATTTATTCGTGATTTTTAACATGCCTATTGTGATATTTTTATTTTGGTTGAAGGGGATCAATTAAGATAACCAAATTCCTTGAATTTTTATTTTAGCTTATTAGTCGAAATGGTTAATTTTAGAAAAAAGTATGGTATTGTTCGACATGATATTGATTTAGAATATTTTTACCATATTACATCATATATTTGTCGTTGTTCTGCCTTATTTAATTTTCTTATAATTTATTTGATATCTACAATACATGTTGTATTCATCATAACATTGCTTAGTTTCCTTTGAATATAAATTTCAAAATTTTCCATAAATTATCTGAAACTTTTCGATTTAATCAATTTATGTGACGTTTAGAATTGAGGGGAATTTTTACATTTGTTCATAAGAAGCTTAGTCGAGAAATAAAAAGAGGGAAATATCAATTGGCTGATGAAAGAAAGAATAGGGACAACAATCTTTTTGTGATGAGTGGATTTTAGAGGAAATTTAGCTAAGTTGCTTTCAACGGAGACGAAAAAATTAGAAGACTAAGGATCGATCTTTAGTTGCTTCATGCTTTCCTCCAAGGTTTGGGCATTCATCGCTAGGCTTTCTTGATGAAGAGTAGAAAACAAATCAGTCGATCTGAAATTGCGGTTGTACGACTGTAGTACTATTTTTTCTGGCTAATGCGAAATTTGGTTAGAAGTTCATCTGATTACAGCGGTTTTTATATTTGCTAAAGTAAATAAGAGTAAGGTGCTCGAGTACGATTTTATTTCAAGGTATATCCGTCGTAGATTTTCTGTTTCTGAACGAGAGTAAATCTATTAAAAAAGATATAAATGTTGCTTTATCAGTTCTTCCCGGTGAAAGCCTTTCATCATACTAGTTGGTGGAGGTACCAAGCGAAAAGTGGTGGGTGCTGTTATAAAAAGGTGAAGAGAAGATGAAGAGGAAAAAAACTAACAAATAACGTTCTCCGAAACTTGGTAGTACTGTTACAATTAATTTGTTACGGTTTTCAGATCTCTTAGCGACTTTTAAAGCTGCCACCAGATTAGCACCAGAAGAAATCCCTAAAATTTGAGATGCAATTAAAATAAGTTAATGAATTATCAAATGAATTACGAAATGGAAAATGGTGATAAAATTGTAGTGATGAAATGTCAAACCATTAGCAGAACATAATTTGCAATATTTTTTATAGAATTAAGGGCTGCTCAAAATCAACTCACTCCTGGGTAATGTCTTTACAGTTTTTTATTGTGAAGCAAAATGCAATAATTCAAGGTCAATTTTAAGAGCTTTTAAGAGCAAGAGGAGAGCAGTAGTACCGAAAATCTAAATTTTTATTTTTGCGTGTTAATAAAAATGATGAAAAAACAGCGGTTTGTTACGTCGTTACCGCATAATATTCCTTCTTTTCGGGCTAATTCTCTAGACATCGCAATTGCTTCATCGGATTTCACTGTTATTATTTCATCGCATATCTCTCTGTTGAAGGTGTCCGGAATAAATCCTGCGCCGATACCTTAAAATATTGACGAAACTGTCTTGGCAGATTTCAGATTCATTAAATGATCTCTTTTAAAGAAAAAATATTTTAACTAAAAAAGCTTTGTTTTTTTAAAGGGAGAAATGAAACGCGAGGCTTATAATTATGAGAAGTCTAAGTATAAAATTCAGCCCGGTGAGACTCTGGAGAATTTTTTTAATGAAATTGCCTAACAGGCGGTTTCTGCTAAGAGCATGTGAACTGCCTTTTCTTGGCACTCTGTGAAACCGAAATTCTCGAATTTTTGGCGTAGCCTTAAGTAAAATGGCTGATATTTTATGCGCTTCTCATAATCATCATGAAGGATCGATCTTTCTGGCTATTGCGTAAAAAAGTAGAATGCAAGATTGGTAACCAATGTTATTTGTTTTTTTAGCGATTATTTCTTTAAAAACCTTGAATTTTATGAGGTCCGGCGTGGCCGCCGCTTATGACAGCAGATTCTTCTGGTTCAACGGCAATTATCTAAATAAAATAAATTGTGCATATTATTTTGTAGAAAGATTCGTCCCATGGATGAGGGAAACCGTCTATGAGCCCGAATGCAGTGTTCGTATTCATTTGACACTATTCTGTTTTCACATTTCCCATATCCCCAATTATTCCCCTTTTACACCATCCTTTCACTTCCCAATCCCCGCTATATCTTCTTATTCACCGTCATATTACTAACCTATGCGATTTTATGATTTGTAGCGCATATAAGGAATGAGGCAATTCACATTAAGAAGGCTATTATCTGAATTGAATCTGAAGGGATTAAAATGGCAGGAAGAGGTGTCAGGCGACACTGCCAATGGATTATTGCAAAAATGCTGAGATTCCTGAGAAAGATTTGTAGCTTTTATAGAAACGACAATTTTGCAAACAAAAAGTTCAACTTGAAATTAATAGTTTGATGCCACGATCGCTATTTCTACGCTTATTAAGCAAGCATTTTATTATATGAATATGAGATAAAGTAATATCAGAAAAAAAACTGGAAGCCTTTATTTCGGAGTTTTTTTCCTTTAAATAGTTCCCAACTCCAGAAATCGTCCCTCCAGTTCCAACTCCAAAAATTCCTATATCGACTTTCCCACCAGTTTGTTTCCATATTTCAGGGCCCGTTGTTTCATAATGAATCCTTGGATTACTTGAGTTTTCGAACTAAAATGCTTATTTTTTCATCGGTAGTACTAATGGTTGGTCAAAATCAGCCAACATCGGTCAAAATATTGAACGAGATAACAGTCAGAGATGAATTACTTGTTGTAATATGAATGAATGCGGTATATGTGCAGCGATTTCTTGGGCTCGTTTAATTGCACCCCTCATTCCTTCAGCTGGATCTGTTAATATTAATTCCGCACCATATGCTTTTAACATAATTCTTCTTTCAATACTCATTGAAGCTGGCATTACTATTATGAGGCGATAATTTTTTGCGGCTGCCACGAATCCAAGCGCGATACCAGTATTCCCTAAAAGAGGCAGGTTAATGAAGTAATATATTCTTAATACTAAAATCAAGCCATTATAGGTTGGATTTGATGGAATACTGGTAAAGTGAAGTCTGGGTGGTGATGAAGCAAAGTGGAACGTTTTAACCACAGTAACCAATAGAGTCAACGAAATAATGGCTATTAGAAAAAGAGATATTCCCTAAAATATTTTTGCGAGACATAAAATAAGAGAGATTTTAGGCGTTCAAGCTTGAACGATTTTACCTGATGTGGGTTCAATCAATGTGGTAACACCAGGCTGAATTTTCTTCTGCTCTTCAGCATCTTTTATCATAGCATTTCCGATTCGATCCTTGACTGAACATGCAGGATTCAAAAATTCTAATTTAACAGCTGCAATGCAATATTCGTCTGCTTAATTTTTCTCGTGATTTTTCACGCATCAATTCACAATTTTTTGTCCAACCTTTGTTCATCAATGTTAGTACGAATAATAATTTAATAAAGGTGCAAGGTGGTCGTGTGCCACATTGCTTCGACTATAAATGGTGAAGTTTGGCCAATTCCTCTTGACATCAATAAATTTAATTATAAAAATAATTATTATTAAAAGTGGAGTACAGGCGATGCAATGAACCCATCCGTCCCCAAGTGATTGTATTAACGATATCATTCTAATAGCCAGGCGAAGCAGCAATGAGAAATGCAGAATGATACCTCAGTTTAAAGAAATAATTCATTTCAATTCATTTAAACCCATTAGAAATTTATATTAACATTGATGAATTATTTTAGTTTAATTTTAAAAGTTATGATAAGTCTTCGATTAATGTCAAGCATGTTGACCTGATTCGCTGTTCCCTGCACTTAACAGGCATAAATCTGCCACAAAACTTGTATTCGGGCGGTGATGTGGACCTGCATCCACGAGGTGCCAGCGGAATAATTAATAATGGTGGGTGCTGGTAAAGGAGGAGAGGAAAATCTTAAATGTTACTTCTTTATAAAAAGAATTTTTCAAATCGTTTATAAAACTGTTTTTTAAAATCTATTTCATCTATTTTGGACTATTTATTTTAAAAATGGAAGAATTACTAAAGAATTTGATAATTTGTGTCTTACCAACTTTTGCAACACAATCCTTGGTAAGTTTATTGAGATAAACCATTGGAGTGTTTCCAATAAGACTGCATATATTTTCTCCGATTTGATCAGTTCGATACTCCATTAACTGCTTTGGTTTCTGCCTTAAAAATTTATATCATTAAATGATGGATAAAAAATTAGGATAAAATTGAAGACATTGCTCCGTAGTAACTGACACTTGTGTCACAGATTCAAATCGACAGATCATATCGAATAAATTGACAGCGTGCCTTAATCCGAAACTATATATATATATGCATGCAAAAAATTTATGATGAATTAATGCAGATGCATATCGCTCTGACTGGTACATTGTATACGTATATGCAAGCGCGATATAGAGCGATGTATTCAAGTAGTACGAATTCGATTGCAGTCTCTGGGCCAGACTAAACGAGAGCAAAAGTGAGGTGTGAATGCACCTTTACCTCTGCCCCTTAGAAGTCAACATAGTCAGCGGAACCAGAAGGGGTAAGTGCGATTAGAAGAAATAGAAAATGTACTCATGCCCCAATTTTATAAATATCTTATATCTTGTCAACTAAATAATTTGTTGCTGTCCTATAATGTATCCATACCAACCAATTATTCATTCGTTTTTTTTTGAAATAAGACGCATGACAAAAGGATAACGGAAAGGAAAGAATTGTAAAAGGAAGGAAAGAAGGTTTCTCCAAATTTTTTGTTCGCGTAAATTTCCTCACCTTACTACCATTTTGCTAACCGGAATGAACTATGACTATCTTCGTAATCCTATTGGAGATACACCACATGCAAAGAAACATGAAGAAGATAAAAGGCTTTTTTAAAACACGAATCATTTTTAGTTAGGCTCGCTCGACTGGCTTGTCGAACGAAACTAATTTTGGCAGGGATTAATTTAGTGATAGAAACAAAGATGAATCATTTTTTAAAGATTATTATGATCATTAAAATGATAATTTTTTTAGGTTCAAGTTTTCTTGCCCTAATAGAACCATAGATCCTTGGGAGGGATCGAAGGAAAGGATGGGTCATTTTTTTGGAAGAGGCCGATAGACAAGTCAGATTTTTTAATATTTTTTTAAATATATCATATTTCCAACGATATGAATAACAGTAATATGCGAATTCCCCGCTTTAATCAGTTTTTTTTAAAAGTAGAAATATTTCGCTAAAACGAGCTATAATGGTAGATGAGAGCATATTATAAAAGTATGGATTACGATGGAAGCCAATTGTAGTTCGAAAAGAAATCGCAGAGCTGGTTTTTTGCCACATTCAATAAAGCCTTATTGCTGCAAGCAACGGTGCCAACCTAAAAAGATAAAGAAGAACAGGCAATATTTACAAAAGTCCGAGAAGAAATTCTTTCATTTTCCATGCTAAAAACTGAAATAGCGGGACTCTTTACTTATCAATAAATAGTGATAAAAATTTTAAAAGTTTTCCATTTCAGCCAATCAAGAAAGCAAAAACTTTTGGTAGAAAATAATTGGACAAATCTTTAAGATAACGCAAAAAATAAAATTACACCACATTTAAAAAGAATATTTCTTTGGATATATCGAATTAAATAATGCCATTTAGCGATTATTAACAGCAAATATACCAATGGTGCCAATAAATAAATAAGCCAGTTTAACAAAATGCGGTTAAGAGAAATGTGAAACAATACACGTACGTAGAGCAGCGATCCGGTATAGTTCGATGACTTTCAATGATTTTATCGAATCGATGAAATAAATACACAAATAAATAAACGAATAAAATGATTTTTTAAAAAAAGGTGAAAAATTCCAATCCACTTTGCCTGCTATTTTGTCAGCCAAAGTGCGATGCCTTTTATTTTCGCAGTTGCATTCGGATTTTCTCGGCTTTAACTTGCTTTTATAAAATATTCAAAAACAGCATTATTGAGTAGATAGTGATAGTGACTGAGATTATCACATTTAGAAGAAAGAATCTGGATTCTACGCGAATTTCGCTATGAAAAAATCCGATGTTGGCGAGTAATTTGCATTTTTTTATCCCTCGATTCCCAGGCAAATCATTTGCCAGCATATCTAGTCTAACCAGAAACGCTAATACCACTAATCTTTTTCTTATTTTTAGTTAATATTAACATTTTAGACTTTAGATATCATATTTTATCATTTGTTCATTATTTTGAAAAATTTTCCATCGGCCATCTTTTTTGATATAACTGTTTAAGTTTTATCTGGTAAAGCTGCTTTTTTAACAAATCCATAAGCAATTTTAGAAAAAAATGCTCAATTGCAAAACTACATTCTAATGGGAAAAAAATGATAACAACTCATTTGCTTGCTTGCTCTAATGGCTTTAGTACGATACGAAGTTATTTAAAGATGCATGTGGATTCTTAGTACATTCGGAATTCTCAATCCATTCTTAACCAAAACTTTTAGCCTCGAATTCACCCTCAGGCAATTAATTTCTTTTTCAGTCAACGGTAAATCATGAATCTTAACCTGAAGTTTTGTTTCTCATTACTTATAACTCGGTACATTTTTCTTGAATACGAATAACCTGGAATCTTTCTTTTGGACATAAATAATATAAACAGACTTAATCGAGTTAAACGAAACGACATATTTGCTAAACGCTTGTAATGGATGGCATCAAAACCGAAGGAGGAGGTCTAATGAAGATCAGAAAAGATATAGGCGACCGAGCGATATATGAGGCAGAAAAAAAAGTGGCATCTGTCACTCTCAGGCATAGCACTGGATCGAGCTTGGAAACGCCTTGCTCTTGCAACCGGCAAAACAAGTCGTGATGCGATCTAGTCTATGTAAGAAAAAAAAAATTTGATCTACTTTAGTTAGGCCTCAACTTAGTACGATGAGATGTTTCCACCAGAAAGTTATGCAGCGATAGAAATATGCATGGTTTGCTAGTACCATCCGAACTCTTTAATTATAATTGCTACTGTTGGACACAAAATGTTAATAATCTTGGCGCTCGAAACGATAATCATAACAATTATCATAAGGTTATTCTGCTTCCAAATAATGATTTATCAATAATGATTTATCAATTTTCGTTTCAGGCATTTGCTCATTAATTTATAACAAATTAATTTTTAATTCCCCATTATTCTCGATTAAGTATTCATTAATTGGAAACCAAGTAGGCAAGGATCTATCATTTGGCTTAATTAAGGTTTTCTTCCAAATTTTTTATTTATTAATATTTTTTTCATTTTTCAAACAAATACAAAATGAAACAAATTGCTGCTAAAAATTTCAGGCTTTCCTTCAGGCTTCGGTATATATATAAGTAAAAATTCATTCTCCTATTTGCTTATTTGGTATATTAGCTTGTTTTCTATTTTGCGGTCGAAATGAAAAATTTGCATGGTCATGCACATCAATCATTACAGCTCATAATCGAACTAAATGGACCATTAATGGCCATGTTAACAGACTTGTGCTGACACAATTTTAGAACCTAATCTACGTTTTTCTTCAACAGCGTAAATGTCATATAATCTTTTTGTAGCAGCGATCATAGTACCATTCATTTAAACCATCATACTTCCACGTTTGATTCAATAAGGTCAGCGAAAAGTGGCTAAAATTCGAGAAAAAATCTTTAATTAAATGAACTAAATTTTTTGTCTTTTCTTAAGCGATTTAATCAAAACGAATTCTGTCAATTAATTGAAGGAAAAATCAAACCATTGTTTTTTCAAATTTCAATATATTTCAAAATCTCATGTTTTTTTTTCACCAACAAGTAGATAATTTTGATTTGGGAAAAATGTCTTCAGATCCAGGCTCGAGCAACTATTATTATGCCTGTTTTCCTTAATTAATGATGATAACTTCATGTGACTAGGCCGACTACGCCGCATTAAGTTAAGCGTAAATTTTTTTAATTAAATTATCAATGAATTTTTTTATCTTTATGTCAATCAGATTTCATAGGTTTATCAGAAACTCGTATCCTTTTTTATCGAGGAATATGCGATTTAAATCAAAGATAACTATTAAACATCAATTATTTTATACTAATCAGGTAACACTTGACCTCGAGTTTTGACCTTTCTATTCTTTCTGGTACTAATTTAAAAGAGATCACCGAAATGACGAAAATGATGTATTGCAAGCGTAAAGGCCGATTAAACTTGGTTTAATTGACTAATTTCATTTAATTAGGTTTAGTGCGTGTTTAAATGGATAAATTTTTTCACACAAATCTCAATTTTGCTAAGAGAAATTTAATATTTAAAATATAAATGTATTTAATGATAAATTAAGCAAATAATGGAATACAAGTTGCAAAAGAATTTCTGCAAAAAATCGATCTATGATATATATTCAATTTTTTTGTAACGCAGAAATGATTCGAATCCGGGTAACGGACCCGCTGCTGGCTAGAAGTAATATCGGAAAATTGCAAAGCAAGCAATGGAATGGCTCAGTGGGTTGTGGCTTTGTTTGGAGCTTAGGTGCCGATACCAGATGGGAATGAACATGTAATAATTTTAAAATGATGCTGGTGATTAACCTGTACTAAGAAAACCCGTGGCAATTGCCTTGCCTTGCAAGCCAGCTGAATGAGCCTGAACAAAAATATTGAAAAACTCAATTAGAAAAGGTATAAGGGAAAGGTGTAAAGGTGTAAAGGAACTAAGAATGTGAATAGGAGCTTTGCAGAATACGCGTTGCATCCTTCTATAATTTGTATAATTATAATTATAATTATAATAATATATAACTATAATTTATAATTTATTCTATAGTATACAATTTATTTTTATTTCAAGTAGAACATTTGTGCAAACCATTTCCGGAAATCTAAACAAAGTTATTCTGGTCAGGCAAGCCGAACCAGCAATGATGAGCAGAAAAAAGGATGCTTAATAATTTTGACGAGATTCTTCTCGAACTGGAAGTTGAGTTCGTGAACGATAATTAGGGTTCAACTTCAGCCTCGCTTTCATTTTATTATAATAAATTGTTTCAGAATTACTAAAAAATTGAATATATATCATAGATCGATTTTTTGCAGAAATTCTTTTGCAACTTGTATTCCATTATTTGCTTAATTTATCATTAAATACATTTATATTTTAAATATTAAATTTCTCTTAGCAAAATTGAGATTTGTGTGAAAAAATTTATCCATTTAAACACGCACTAAACCTAATTAAATGAAATTAGTCAATTAAACCAAGTTTAATCGGCCTTTACGCTTGCAATACATCATTTTCGTCATTTCGGTGATCTCTTTTAAATTAGTACCAGAAAGAATAGAAAGGTCAAAACTCGAGGTCAAGTGTTACCTGATTAGTATAAAATAATTGATGTTTAATAGTTATCTTTGATTTAAATCGCATATTCCTCGATAAAAAAGGATACGAGTTTCTGATAAACCTATGAAATCTGATTGACATAAAGATAAAAAAATTCATTGATAATTTAATTAAAAAAATTTACGCTTAACTTAATGCGGCGTAGTCGGCCTAGTCACATGAAGTTATCATCATTAATTAAGGAAAACAGGCATAATAATAGTTGCTCGAGCCTGGATCTGAAGACATTTTTCCCAAATCAAAATTATCTACTTGTTGGTGAAAAAAAAACATGAGATTTTGAAATATATTGAAATTTGAAAAAACAATGGTTTGATTTTTCCTTCAATTAATTGACAGAATTCGTTTTGATTAAATCGCTTAAGAAAAGACAAAAAATTTAGTTCATTTAATTAAAGATTTTTTCTCGAATTTTAGCCACTTTTCGCTGACCTTATTGAATCAAACGTGGAAGTATGATGGTTTAAATGAATGGTACTATGATCGCTGCTACAAAAAGATTATATGACATTTACGCTGTTGAAGAAAAACGTAGATTAGGTTCTAAAATTGTGTCAGCACAAGTCTGTTAACATGGCCATTAATGGTCCATTTAGTTCGATTATGAGCTGTAATGATTGATGTGCATGACCATGCAAATTTTTCATTTCGACGCAAAATAGAAAACAAGCTAATATACCAAATAAGCAAATAGGAGAATGAATTTTTACTTATATATATACCGAAGCCTGAAGGAAAGCCTGAAATTTTTAGCAGCAATTTGTTTCATTTTGTATTTGTTTGAAAAATGAAAAAAATATTAATAAATAAAAAATTTGGAAGAAAACCTTAATTAAGCCAAATGATAGATCCTTGCCTACTTGGTTTCCAATTAATGAATACTTAATCGAGAATAATGGGGAATTAAAAATTAATTTGTTATAAATTAATGAGCAAATGCCTGAAACGAAAATTGATAAATCATTATTGATAAATCATTATTTGGAAGCAGAATAACCTTATGATAATTGTTATGATTATCGTTTCGAGCGCCAAGATTATTAACATTTTGTGTCCAACAGTAGCAATTATAATTAAAGAGTTCGGATGGTACTAGCAAACCATGCATATTTCTATCGCTGCATAACTTTCTGGTGGAAACATCTCATCGTACTAAGTTGAGGCCTAACTAAAGTCGATCAAATTTTTTTTTTCTTACATAGACTAGATCGCATCACGACTTGTTTTGCCGGTTGCAAGAGCAAGGCGTTTCCAAGCTCGATCCAGTGCTATGCCTGAGAGTGACAGATGCCACTTTTTTTTCTGCCTCATATATCGCTCGGTCGCCTATATCTTTTCTGATCAGTTTAGGCTTCATTAGACCTCCTCCTTCGGTTTTGATGCTACCTATTATAAGCGTTTAGCAGTGAGATATGCGGCACTTCCTCTAGTATGAGCGAAGAGCATGATTTCACAACGATGCTTTATCATGATATTGTAATGGTTTCTGCGTGAGGCTGGATGCCATTGTCCGGCGATTGTATCCTGAGTTTGGAAAATATGCCTTAGTCATGAATGATCAAAGGTAGCTTTTTATAGTTTTTGCCTCTCATTTGCCATGTTTTTCTTACAGTTATATAAACGTATGAATTTCAGCTATATAGATGCGATTTTTCGTTTAAATAGTAATTTCTCGACGACTATATAGAGGTTTCGCCGGACGGAAAAACGTTTTTCTTGTTGCGCTTACTCTTTCTTTGACTGTGTCTTTCACTTGGGCAGTTGATATAGTGGATCCGAGATACATAAAGTTTAGCATTTCCTCAATCAGTGATGAATTGGTGCATTTTTAATTCTTCTTCCGATTATATTATGATCACTTGATAAAATGAAATATAATTTGTTTTTTTAATTCATAATTAATTCATATTGATTACTCATATTAATTCCAATCCGCGAGTAAGTAACATAAGTGAAATTAATTACAAAGGAATAGTGAATTACGTGGTTGTTTAACTAATAAGTCTATTTATTATAAGTGAATTTTAAGGTAAATTAGGTATCATGCGAGGACTGTCAAGCATATTCACAATATTTATTGAATTATAATTATCGAAATTTTTTTTCTAAAAAACGTAGTCATTAGTTAATTATTATGCATGCATGCAGAATAAATTAAGTAATTTAAAATGAGAACTAGATGGTCTTTTGATTCCAAGGTTATGGTTAAACAAATATTTGGAGCGTAAAACGATTCATGCAGCCCACTGCGGTATCATCATCACCTCTCTAAGGTTCTTCGAGAAAGGTCACAGAAAAATGAAAACGCATATAAAGATCTAATAAAATATTTCTTTTCCGTCATTTTCATGTTGAACAACTTTTTTTCACATCTTTTTGCATTAAATAAATCTATAAAAACTTTTTCTTTTTTCATCATTTTGCCTACTTAATTAATCATCTTAGATGGCTATAATCTTGCAAAATCTGGACAAATATTCTGTTATCATAATCATTAATACACGGCTCGATAAAAATTAAAAATATGGTTTTACAGAATTTTCAATTTTAGGCTGAGATTTGCGAGACCTATACGTTGAATGAAATTACTATAGCGAAGTGAGATGTCATCTGGGAGACACTAAATTAATTTCTTAAATTTCTGTTCTGGTTTTCGCTTATTGTAGTCTATTATTTTATAATTCACCAGTTCAATCCCGAGTAAATGAGGAAGAATATGAATTGACACTGAAGTAGTTAATCGCCATTTGACCTAAAAAATTATTACTGATTCTTAAAAGTTCATATCGACAAAGAAAAAAAATTTGATCTAAATTTGTGCATATGAGAGGTTTTTTCATTTCCAAATTTTTCCTAATTTTTCTGTTTTATGCATTGCATTAAATATGTCGTTTTACTTGATTAAGTCTGTTTATATTATTTATGTCCAAAAGAAAGATTCCAGATTATTCGTATTCAAGAAAAAGGTTCCAAGTCATAAGTTATAAGTAATGAGAAATAAAATTCGGATTAAGATTCATGATTTGCCACTGACCGAAAAAGGAAATTTATTGCCCGAGGAATGAATTTCGAGGTTAAAAATTTTAGCTACGAATGGATCGGAGTAAAAAAGTAGTGAATTTTTTCATCTCGTACTAGTTATAATATAATACTTGGCACCATTGCTTACAAAATATTTTTTAAATACCTACCGAATTTATAAACTTTCTTCCATATTTAAAAAAAAATCACCTCATTGAGTCATTTATAGTCGTTTTTTTTTCAGATGGTTATTTCATGGTTATTATTTTTATATATTATTTTTGCTTCATTCAGTATATCTATGGTGAGCATTAAATTTTTTTAAAATTTATTCAGCGATTAGCTACTGAAAACTGCTAAACAAGTTTCGTAAACATTTCAGAAATCTTTTCTTGTTGTTCTTTTAATAGCATAAATTGCGGTGCATATGATTCAATCAGATAAAATTCGTAGTAAGTTACATAAGTTACATTCCTATCATAGAGTGGTGAGAAAAGGTGCCTACAAATTACTGGATATTTGCAAATGAGGGGTGAAGAAAGGTAAATTGCTTGACACTCGAAAAAATCGAATTTATAGGAGGCAATCGAAAACGAAAACGTTCCAAATGACTATGCTGAAGTCCGAAATCTTCTACGGCAGTACTATAGCAGAGCTGCAAGGAAATATGGAACTTCATTTGATTATGTATTTATGTTAAATTTAAATTGATTTATTGGATTTATTGAGATTTAAAGGATGGCAGAGTAGAATGATATGTTGCTTTAATTAGGGTGAGGTAATATGGGTTGGACCTCTGCATTTTTGCCGGGATAAGCTTGCCATTAAAAGTGAAATTGGGTGACACTTTTGCTTATATTTTTATTCCTAAGAGATTCTCTGGCGAAACTTTCTCATCTTAACAAACCATTAATGATGAATGCTATTAATAGAAAAAAAATTATTCAAGAAAAATTGGAAAAATAGCCAAATCACTCATAAATATATGTACATTGCAAATTATGCAAAAACTATCAGAGAAATTTTTTTATTCATTGAACCAGCCATTTTAGCTTTTTGGCAGTACCTTTAAAAATGTTTGCTGTTGATGAAAGCAAGAATACCAAAATATTTTTGAACTGCTTTAGAACTCGCAGAAAATTAATGAAGCTTTAAAAAACACGCCATTCGACGATGGGACTGAGGTCAGTGTTAATCGTAATGAAGGTATCGTGGGCGACCTCTTTGAAAACGATATTCTCTTGACATTGCCTCAAGCAAAAGTAATTCTTCAAGAAATAAAATCGAGTATGTCTTAATTGCTAATAATATTGTCATATATAAAATATTAATATATAAATATAAATTTGATTGTTTCCATAATAAAAATTTGCTCTAAATGAAGATGAATTTAATCATTGTGTTAAGAACAAAAGAGACAAGCGATTCGAGCTAAAGAATACTTTTGGCCAACAACAACCATTTTTTACACATTTGGCATTTCTGATGGTAAGATTATTCTTTTTGCATGAAAAATGCACACTAATAGAGTAAAAAATCTGATAAGAAGAAATTAAACAACAAATCTCTTTGCTTATCAATTAACATCCAACGAAAAATTGATCTATTGCAATAGAGGCTGTGGTCTATCCACCTCTTGGAGATGAATTCCACGGAATCCCTTTATCTTAAATTACATGAAGTCTAAATTTATTTTCATTAATTTTTGATTGAAGCTTAGCTTTTCTCTCAATTATCAATGGACCATATTTATTAATTAGTCATAAAAATATTTTCATTATTAACATTTCTATGCATTTCTATGCATTGTACTTACATGTATTTATGGAAAAAAGTTAAAAATTCCTTTATTTGATAAAATGTCCATGTAAAATACCACAAAAGGCCAGAATAAACAGTAATTTGAAAGCAAGGAATTGAAGATTCTTATCAACGGACCAGGAGAACTTATAAACAACAATAGATAAGCAAATTATAAGTCAATTAATAAATAACGATATCTAGCGAAATTTTCTGGCTGACTGCTAATTATTTATTAAATGTCATTTATATAGAAATTATTCCTAATTATTCCTACTCTATGTTGATATTTATTAATTTGCTTAGAAATTCTGCAAATATTATATTTCTGGACACTTCTGTATACCAGTCAGATCTGTTATATGATTGAGCGCAGGATGGCTAAAGCGATTTCAACTGATGCCATCATCATAGGTTCGATCCCTATCTCTTGACCGAGCAACTTTCCGCCAAAGGTGATACTTTTCACCCAAGTGGTCCTTCTGGATCTCATCTAGTAGCCAAACCAGAAATGGTTCTAGAAAAATAAAATCTAATATATTATTTTTCATACACTCAACTATCTCACCTATTGAACTATTTATACAGTTGCTTCGATAATGTCCCACAAATATCGAAATATCAATAAATTTGGCATTATTTTTATTTTCGATTTTATTTTAAATTCTTTGCATCAAGGCGAAGAAATATAAAAAAAAGCTATTTTTATCAATAAAATGCATCTATATTATGATATACAATACAATACAATACAATAAGGATTGTAAAATATTTTAAAATAGTTTAATAAACCGAGTGATCTGATTCTGTATCATTCTTTTTATTTATCTCATTCTCATCTGACTGTCTGGTAAAAAGATATCATCCTAATAGCCATTGCAGCCAGCTAAGGAAAAAGTAGTAAATACTATTAAAAAAAAGAAAAATAAATTTTAGAAAAGGCAAATTTTTGACTGACCAGTCTTATTTGAGCTTCTTCCTTAAAAATAAAATAAGCAAGTTGGATTTTACTCTCCGAATTTTAAGTTATTATTAAAGTTAATTTGCATGAAAACTGTGCCATGACATTGATCCATGTTTCTGAAAAATTTAAATTTTTTAGCCCGATGGCAAAATATTATTAAGCTCGGTCTAAAACATATTGAATCAAAAACCTGCATGAGGTTTAAGGTAAGATAAAAATTCTTATTCGAAACCAGTTTAGCCTTTTATGAAAATTTGAGAAAAAAATTGAAATGAACAGAAAATTTCATCATATTATGTTTTTTAGGAAGGAATAGCAAGAGAAGGAATTTTTTTTACAAGAGGTCACGGTTGTTGGTCAGCAGTTGGGCGAATAGGAGGGCAACAAGTTATTTCAATCGGTTATGGCTGTGATTCGGTTATTTATATCTATGTTGATTTTAAGATTTTACGACTAAAAAAATTTGAAAATTAAGAATGTTAGATGATTGTATAAATCTGATAAAAAATCGGCTTCAAATAAATCTGGTTTATAATCTGGTGATTTATAATCTGGAACTAAATTTTCCTCTTTTCCACCATTTTTTAGCAAACAAAAAACAACTGATGCCATCATCATAGGTTCGATCTCTATCTCTTGACCGAGGAACTTTCCATCGAAGATGATACTTTTCACCCAAGTGGTCCTTCTGGATCTCATCTAGTAGCCAAACCAGAAATGGTTCTAGAAAAATAAAAATCTAATATATTATTTTTCATACACTCAACTTTATTTGAGAAATTTTTATTTATTTTAAATAATAATATTTGTAAAATTGTATTAAATCATTCTATAATTTATTTTTAATTTAGATAGGTATTATCATTCATGAAGTGTTGCATGCGCTTGGATTATGGCATGAGCAATCTCGAACTGATCGTGATAATTTTGTTCAAATTATTTTCCGAAATATTTACCAGGTATTCCATTAGAACCGTATTACCATCTTATTATTATTATTGTGGCTCAATATTTAAGACAAATCAAATACTTTTCAAGTTTTCTGGACTAAATAAAGTGCTAAGTAGAACTACGGTTAATAATTATTTCAAAATAATCCTCAGGGTACTCAAGGAAACTTTGAAAAAAGAAGTGTATATAATACCGATAACATGAACCAGCCCTATGACCTTGGATCAATTATGCATTATGGTCCTAAAGCATTTACTTTTGATTACAGCAGGTAACAAAGCGAACGAAATTCTTTTATTTTTTAAATTCAAACTTTTTTAAAACTTTTCAATCAAAATTGATTGAAATTTGATTTCGAATTTTTTAAGCTTCAAATTTTGATTCAGTGAAGCAATCTGTTATATTTTTTACATTCTTCAAGCTTTGCACAAATCAGCATTTCTACAAAAAAGATATGCTTTATGAGCAAATAGTATGAAGTTTCGAACTTGAGCGAAAAATTGGGAAAATATTCAATGAGCTAAAAAGAAACTTCCTTCCTTCTTATACCTAAATTCTACCTATAAGGACCTGTAATATAATGCAATATAAAGAATGATGTGACTTACCATCAGTTATTATAATTCTAGTCAATAATTAAACTAACACCTCTTAAAATTTAATTAATAACCACCACGTTCATTATCATTAAAATGGAGACCTGATTTAAACAATGATCTATCAATCATCGCTAAATCAAAAATCAAACACTCAGCTGTGCTTATATTCCTTTGTTTGACCGAAAAAGAATGAGAATTTCCGTTTTAAAAATTTTTTACCTAAAATTATGAAAATTTATTATTAAAAATATAAAACAAAATTGTTAACATCTTAAATATTCATTTGAATGAATCAAGCTGGATTTTAAATTAAAAACATCCTAAATATTTGCAAATAAATAAGTGGTTAACGCTCATCATTTCTGGTTAGGCTCACTCCGCTAACTTTTTTTCTCTTTTTTCCTGTAAATTATAATGTCCCATTAGTCATAAAAAATGTTCTATAATCTTGATGGTGGTCAAAAATCGGAAAAAGTACAATGAAATCATGTCGCAAATTGTTAAATTGCTTTCATTTACAGAAATTATTATTAGTTTATTATATTATATGAATTACTGACTATATCTCCATTATTATAGAGATTGTTAACAAAATTGTGTAGCAACGGGTAGAAAATGTGGATTCTCTTTTTTCAATTTCAACTCAATAGTCGTCTTTCTTCTTAAATAAAAAACTACAAAGAGGGATGAGGAATAAGGATATCGAGAGTATACATCAAAGTATATACGCTCCTCAGTATATCAGGATCACTAAAGGCGTGAAGGCCATCCCAGCTGCAAAGCAAGAAAAGCAAGAAAAAAAACGTATATTTGGCAGGGAAATAATATGGTCAAGGCAAAAGATCGATTCAGTAATAAGCTTTTACTAAAACATAAAGTCGCATGCGCGAGAGAAAGGAATGGTAAGCCACTCCTGTTTCATTATCAAAAAAACTATAATGATTGAAAATATAAAATATAATAGTATAATACAATAAATGCCAGGTGATAGCATGCCAGGTGACCAGTGAAGAAAAGTCAGTTGCAAAAAAAAGATATACTTGGATACGTGGAATATAAACCAGGAAATCTCAACATTACGAAAGATAAAATGAAATGGTTACAAATTGACATAGATTGACATGGACTATCAATGAAATGAGATGGATTCATACCGGATATTTTCGGTCAGAAGATCATATTTATTATTCAGGAGATGAAAAGGAGGAGTGGTTACTTTCATAGTTTGGAAGTCACTGTTCTCCGCTACAATGCACTGACCGAATAATATGATTAGATTTTGTAGACATTCCTTCAATTCGACGATATGATTTTTCATAACCTCTATTTTCGTCGCCTTTGCTGCTTAGGGCACCTTCTCCGTTGTCCATCACAGGAGTTGACGGATATGTCGTTATTCGCTAAACCATGTGATGGTTGGCGCCAAAAGAGAGGAAGACCAGTCAAGACCTGGACTGATGTAGTCAGGAAAGATTTTGAACGCATAGGAGAACTAGCGATATATGGACTTAGACGATGGAAAAAGAAGTGGCTTCTATTATTACTAGCTATGGCCAATCAACTTGGAAACGTCTTAAACCAGTGGAGCCAGTAATGATGAGAGATGTTAGAAGAAAAAGAACCCCTTTCTCAAATAACCAAAACGATTACGAAATTGATTATGGAATAAATCACGAATTGCTTATGTAATGGAACCAAGTTGAACTAAAGAAGGAATCAACCAGCTTCGACGGCATAATCTTGAATATACACTATTTTCAAGAAGAAAAATCAAGAATGAAATTTTTTTAAAATCCTGAAGCAGAGGAACTGTAGAAAGAAATTAAATTACCAAATTTTTAAACAAACCGTGGAAGCAACCAAGATAGAAAGAGAAGTTAAAGCTGAGAAAAAAAATCCTAGAAAGGAGCATGAATTGGTATGACTAATGGGCAAATGGTTACTCAAAAGAAATCAAAGGGGGTTGGAAGAATGTATAATGCAAATGTTAATATCTAAGATGATATCCCACAGATTCCTCTTCCTTTCTTCTTCAACCTTTATTAGAATATCTTTATTGAAATTAACTTAATATTTATCGAGTCAAAATGCCACAGGAGAATGCAAGGTGAAATGTGGCAAACAACAGAAGAGGATTCTAAGTTATGGTGACAAATCTGAAGAACAACATAGACGCCAAGCTAGAAGAGATCAATCTGCATTCCAGTACCAAAAGCCTTAACAAAATTTGCAAATATCATACAATATCCTTAATTTCTCTCTCTAATAAAATAATTCTTAGGATCAACCAATTCAGTTTCAGTAGAGCATCTTCAGTAGAATAGACTTTCATCAAGAAAGGAAAGCCAAATGTTTAAGTTGGAAAAGGATAAAAAGCACTAGATATTTGATATTTATTTATATATGGGGATTAATTGGAAAGCTAAAAGTACCAAAAACAAATCAATATATGCTTCACTGTTTATAGGAACCTATGACTATGTCGATCATCACCTCAAGCTATATAATGAGCCCAGAAAAATATGAATACCAGAACACATCTAATTAGTTCTTATTAAAAACTTATTCAGATCAGGAATGAAAATGAAGGATTTGATGGCTCATAACCAATCAAACAAGCCTATTCAGATCATAAGTCCATTCCACGAGTCTTGATGAATCAAGAGAAGTGATAAATAAAAATTAGACGCTGGCAGGGGTTGAACTTTTCAAAATTATCGCACCCCAGTGCACTGAATACAGCTGAGTTTGAGAAAATGTTAAAAAATAGAAATTTGAGATAATGTTAAGGAAGAGCAATGTGATTTATGAGTATATTTTTTATGGTCATTTATGCACAAACAAACGCCAAACATTTTACGAAAAAACTTCATTATTTGATAAGTTCTTCATGATTGGTGCGAAAACTTTGATAATGGTTTCTTAAATTCTCTTATAAGTATGAAAAAAGAGCAAATTATATCTGATTGATGAAATCTATAAGTTTGCAGGAAAACAATTGTAACTCGCGATGAGCTTTATCAAAATACTATAGGACAACGGTCACAGTTATCATTTAAAGATGCGAAAATGATTAATCTTCGATACTGCACAAGTAATTTTTTTTTGAGCAGCTCGTGAAGAAAATAGGAAAATCGTCCATTTTTTCGCCGAATAAATTCTTAAATCATATCAATTCTTTCTCCATTTGATTAATTCTTAGATCATACATTTTAAAATATTTTTTGATTTTTTTTACTGTTTTGCTCAGATAAATGTTATCAAGAAATGGTTTGTTATCATGGCGGATATACTGATCCAAACTACTGTAGTCGATGCATTTGCCCATCGGGCTGGGGTGGCACAAATTGTCAGGATGTCGAACCAAGCAGTAAGTTCCTTTCCATCTTTAATTTCATTATCTTTATTTGTCATAACCGAACGATTTTAAGGAACTGCAGGCTGTGGAAAGACCTTAATAGCGGCAAATGAATCGGTAACCATAACGAGTCCAACATTAGTACCAAATGTTCATTGTGTTTGGAGAATCAAAGTAAAATTTGTCGAATATATAATAATAATAATATTAATAATATTATAATAATAATAATATATAAATATTTTTGTATATATACACTTACTATATATATATATTTTTGTATATATATATATACACTTTTTTATATTTATATTTATATTTATTTTTATATTTAATATGAATACATATTTTTCCGTTATTTAAGTAATTTAAATTGAAATCAAAATTATTTACAAAGAGGAAAATTTCTTTTATAATAATCATAATGGATTTTTGCTTATATTTTATGTTTATAACGAAAAATTCTATAATACAGTCAATAGCACAAGTCGACGTGACAATTGGTAACATAATTCTACCATGTCAAGAATCCTGTGGTAGCTTCGTTGAATTAAAATATCATAATGATATGACCAGAACAGGTGATTTTAGTTATTCCATGGCTTTGCAAGTACCTTTAAATATTATGGTCCTGATATGATTATTGAATTTATTTTATGATATGTAATGAGTGAGACTAGCATAATAGTTCGAAATATTTGTTGAAGTTCTTTGATCACTTGGCCTATACAGTTTATTTATTGTGTCTAATTTCTGCCTCTGTTTAATCTACTTTTCAGATTTATTCAGATCACCTTAATCAGCCATGTTTAAAAATCAAGGCAGATTTTTTCACCATGCAATTTTTTTTATAGGTCCGAGGCTTTGTTGTTCGGCATCGAAACGACGCTTCATTAGTGATGGAAATGATTTTATAATCATATATAGCGGATCGTCTAATGCTGATAGTCGGTTTAGTGGTTTTCAGTTCAGCTATAAAACATGTGAGTTATAATTTCGAAAAATAAAGTTTTATAACTTCCTTTCTTTTGTCTAACAATTTATTCACAATTTATTTAAGCTGTTTGAACTTTTATACGCATTTCATAAAAATGAAGCTAAAACTCTTCAATCGACATTTTGTTTCTGTAAAAAACACATTTTTAAAAGTGAATTCGTAGTTAAATTCTTGATTATTCTGTTTGAATATTGCTGGTTAGCTATAAGGTCGTTTCAGATGATGAAAGCCTTCACACCACAAAAACCTGGACTAATGCAAAAACCACATCTGCGATTTCTCTTACCACTAAACAATCTACGGTAGTCTTTTCATAAATATTAGACAGGGATGTCAAGATGAGTTTTTTCTATGAATTCAAATCATTATTCATGAACAGAATGTTTCAATTTATTATGATCTTGGAATTTCATCATATATGTCTAATTTTTTTGTCATTCATCATTGTCTTTAGCACCTTCGTTATATGGATCATATGATATGTAAGCTTCATTATTAATTAGTCAATCATTGAAAAAAAGCTCAAAAAAATTAAATGATCAAATCTAGAAAAAATCTATTTTTAGGGACCGATTAACACACGGGGACCTTTGACTCCATCAAGATTTACGCATCCCACGACACCAACAGTGGGTAAGTTTATAGTTGCCACGATTAAGGTTCATCTATATAAGGTCCATCTGTAGTAATATACTCAAAGAAGCGCAATGAAAATTTGCGATAGCTCCGCATACTTTCATATCATAAGGTCACTTTTTTTTGAATCTGAAGGTAAGGAATCATTGAAACAAAATTTAGGATCACATTGGAGCGCGTGGGGCCAGTGGAGTGAATGTTCCGTTACTTGTGGTGGCTGTGGTGTTAGGAAACGTGTAAGAGCATGCTATGGGGGGAACAGGACTTGCAGGTATATTTTTTTTATTTATTTTTTGCAAATATTTCGTTTTCACCAGTAGTTCATTTTCATCAATTTTTCTTTTGCATATTTATTGTATATTTATTTTCAACTGAACGCCAAATTTTTTTCTTCCTTTTTTCTCTGCTGTAGAATCTCATAATGCCGGTCACCAACATTTGTTTGCTTTCGTTAATATAACGAGTTCTGCTATAATTCGGATTTATCCCAATAGCTGATTAACTCTATCAATATAGCCCATAATTATTTGAATTTTTGTCATTCACACTTATTCTCATATGTTTTCTTTAAATTAAAATCACATTTAAATAACCGATCAGTCTTAAAAAGATTGGCTTTTCAATTGACAGTTATAGAAATTAAAGTTGGATTGTTTCCCTCATTATTTTCCTAAAAAATTTCCAGTGGACCAGATTATGCGACTGAAAAATGTGGTGAAAAGCGTTGCGAACAAGCGAGTAGAATAATGGACTGTAAAGGTCGAATCGTTTTACCGTGTGACCTAATGAATAAACTGGACTTCGGGATTTTCAAAACAATTCAATCAGGTATTGAAAATATTCTTTAAATGGGATGCCCACGAAAATATAATTGATGAATTTCTGGTGAAACTTGTATCTTTGATATAATTTTAATTTGTAATTTTTATGAATTTATGTTTCTTATAAACTATCATTATTAAAAAGAATAAAAGTTTGAGAAATAATACTTTTTTTGCTTAAAATAAAAATCTTAACTGGAGCTTAGATTCAAAAATGGAAAGGAATGAAGCGATACTCAATGTTTCTACAATAGAGCTGTTAAATCGCCGTGGAAGAAGCATTGGGACTATTTGTGAGAAGTAAGTTTTATGCGAAGTCTTTTTTTTCGTTATTGTTTTAGCGCCTTAGTCCATTCCACAAGATGAGGTAAGAACCGAAATAAAATATTCACACTTATAATTAATACTTAAAGCGAAAACAACGAAAAACGCGCAATCACCGATTTTTGAATTTTTAAATCGAAAATTTCGTTCATTTCAAAGAATTTAATAAAAATGGCTGCTGCAAATTCATATGCAAAAATTAGAAACCCGAGGTCGTTTTTTAGACTGGAAAAAGTTTAAAAATTCCTTGTTCCTTGCCAAATTTCCCAAAGATGGGTAAATAAAAGTAAATGGCCAACACTACTCGAGTTTCAATTACTCACTCAGTAATTCTGCTTTAATTTAATTTAGACATTCGCATTTATTTTTTCAATCGTCAGGCACAAAATCTCAATTTGCAGAAGGTTTTCATATTTTTGTGTCACAAATTTATTAACTCTTGCCATTGATTGGAAGCGAGCTCATGATGTTGTGCGCGATTCAAATGGTTGTTGTAAAGGATATTTTGCTGTGAATGGTAATTGCGTTAAGATATAACGAAAATCTTTTCCTTTAATTTCTTCATAAAATAAAGAATAAAAAATACTTACTTCTATTGACTTGATAATAAACATGTTAAAATATTTGATAATGACAGTTTTGAAGTATTTATTATGATAAGCATTTAAGGAATTATTATTGAAATATTTATTATGATAAGAATTTAAAGAATTTATCATATTATTTGAAATTTTTTTATATTAATTAACGTTTATTATACTGCCATATTACTATAAATTTATCGATAAAGCATTTATGATTTACATAAAAAAAGAAACAAAATAGCTTTTAAGAATGAATGAAGAGGAACTAATAAAATTCAAAAAAAGGCTTAAATAAGATAAACTAATAAATAAAATAATTCAGCAAATATATGCATATATATATATATATATATATATATTTATATATGTAAATAAATGCAATAATTGAAATAATATAATAAATCAGTTTATATTACATTAACCCATAATATGTGTCTTCAAATTGAATTATTGCTTCGCTACATAACTCAGAGTATATGTAAATAAGTAAGTTTCGCTTCTATATCCTTTTTTTGCAAAAATAAATCTCTTTTTGCACAGACCTTTTCTGTTATACTATAACCAAAATAATAAATCAATAGCAAGAATCAATCATCAAATCTTATCGAAATCCTGGTGGATAGTGAATATTAATTTTAAGTTTGATTCAAAAATTCATTATTTTCACTAAAATCCTAAACCTATTTACTGATAAGATTGTATATAAATATTATCGCTTTTGTATTCCAAAATACATAGTAAATTTTTTCAAAATAATTTTAAAAGCAAAATAAGAGCTCAATTTTCAAAGAACTCAAATTCTAGATGAGAAACATCACTACCTGAATACAATGATGATAAATGCACTATGAACAATGTATGTCCATGTTTTATTTAATCCCTATTTGATGACCTTGCTTCTTCATTTTTATTTGTTTCTGTACTCTGGGAGGGTGGATTATTGGCGACACCATAAATCATTTGAGAACTTGGCCATACTCCAACAATAGGATAAGGTAATGAGCCAGGAAGCATAGCAGCGAAGTTTGGAAAATTTTCAGTGGCTTTTTGAAGCTCACGCATGCAATTAGCCCACATTTGTTGTTGCATCATCATACTAGAAAAATCAGGCGGAATTATATGTGGCTGATTTGAAGTGGAGAATGAAGTAAAAATTGGAGCTGATGTTGCTGGTGGCAACATTAGTGGTGAAGAAATATTTCCCAAAATATTTGTGGGACTTGACTGGTTTGAGTTTGTTGAAGTTGGTCGTGTAACTGAGTCAGCATTGCCTTGTGTTGACGGTGAAGATCGACGATCGGCAGCTAAAGGAATTAGCGGATTGCCAGCGGATGTGTTTACCATACTTGGATTGATCAATGCTGCTGGAGTTAATATCGGAGCTAAAATTCAATTTCGTATAAGTTAAATTAAATAAATTTGTCCTTAAAATCATAAAAGAAATTTATTAAAAGAAAGAAAGAAATTTAAAAAATAATCGACACATCGGCAAATATTTCTAAATTATTTCTCAATGAACATTTAAATAAAGTGTGACTAACCGAACGGGTTTACAGACATAGCAGCCATTAAATGTGTCGCTTCGGTTGTATCAACATTATTATGAGCCGAATTAAATAATGAAAAAGCATTAGCCAAAGACCCGTGGTTATTACGTGAAGCATGTTGCCCTTGGGCATACGGATGGCTAGCTGGAGTCCGTTCTTGCTTACGATATTTTGCTCGCCGGTTTTGGAACCATACCTAGAAATATTGCTCAGCTAGATGATTTCAGCTTGCTGAAGAAATTAAGAGAAATATGAAATGCTAAACGGAAAAAGCCCAGAAGGGAACAATGAGAGCTAGAATTTATAGTCTGATTTATTTCAATTAGAGATCTTCAGTCATATATATCTTAATTAAATTTAAATAATGGTCTCGGTATTTCAAACAAATAGAGAATATTTTTTATATAATTATTATTATAATTATAAAAAAAATAATAATCTCGACAAGCGTATCCATAGTAATTTATGTCATGGATATAAAAATAAATTTTAAAATGGAAAAAATTTTGATTTATTTGGTAATCTCAAACATTGAACAAATCATTATTTATTTTATAACAGTGCTACTGAATAATGCAAAAATTTCAATGATTAAAACAGAAAAATTCCACATTTAAATAATGAATCAGAAAAATACCTGAACTCTAGCTTCTGTCAGACCAACACGTACGGCCAATTCCTCTCTAAAATAGCAAATTTATTGCTCACTTCAATTTTTTTATTTTCACTATATATATATATATATATATACTACATAAGTAAGTGGGTCATTATTTATTTCCTCTCCACCGCCTATTGATATCAAAATATGTAGTTTACTATGTAGTCGCTTTGCGATAGAAACAAAGGGTTTATAAATAAAATACTAATTTGCAGAAGTAATTATGATTCGAGATTCAAGATTTCAATTAAAATGACCTTGTAAAAACATCTGGATAATGAGTTCTGCCGAAAATTTTTTCTAGTTCATCGAGTTGCTTTGCCGTGAATGTAGTACGATATCGCCGTTGTTTCCTTTTACCATTTTCTTCAGGGCTCCTTGAACTTGATGAACGACTACCCATTTGTGAATCTTGAACAGCATCCGATATTGACGGTTCCGTGTTATATAAAGCTGAAATTAAATAATTAAATGATAAATTAACGCTAATTACATATATCACCTAATAATTTTAAAAATATTGTAAATATGCAATTTAATTCAAAAACAATATACTATTTGAATGCAATGAGAATAAAGGTAAAAGAAGGAAAAAAGGGAAAAAGGCCGAGCAAAAAAACACCAAAAAAAATCATTTTTGAAGGTACTTTTCCGCTTAGCTTTAGATCCTTAAAATATAATAACCATTAAAACTATTTCTCGAAAAAATGCAATTTCTGTCCTCAATATTTAAATGTAGAATGAGCTGTAATTTATATATATATATGTATATATATTTATTCATAAATTAGTTCGTTACCTGATGAAGAATTATTTGGCAACATAACTGTTGCTGCGGCATTGTGTTCACTGTTATTATTGCTAACGGAATGATTCCGCAATCGACCAATCTCATCATCAGGCAATGTCAAAGAGGCAATTCCGAAAGGCAATTTGAGGACATGATTATTTTCTTCTGAGGAAGCTAGCGATGTGACCGAAAATCCTACAAATTTTAAAATATTTGGAATTGATTATGTTGCAGAAAAGTTATAAAACTCATAACACATTTGAAATACCATTCTGTGTTGAGCTACTGCTCAATGTTGACTGATTTTGTTGCATATCATTCGTACTGTGATTATTCACCATAATGCTCGCCATTCTTGAAGACGACAGAACAGAGCATTCATTAACCGCCGAATCGTTTACAACTAATGAATCGAGATGAACTGTACAGTCTGTACTATCGGGCATAGAATTTTCAATCCCCTTGCGCAAGTTCCCTTAATTTTATTCCGTTTGAAAGTTTAATTTCTATAGGTTCTCTGAAATTTGGAATATATTCGACTTTGAACTGCAATTTTCAGCGTTAGCGATAAACGAGTTACGACATAATGTCTAAGAAATAAATTTCACCAAAAAAGAAACACCAATATATAAGAAAATTTACAAATAATGAAGGGAAAAATATGAATAGTGAATAATTCTTTTATTGTAAAAGATTCTTTTATGAAAAATATCAATTTTGCGAGTCAAAACACAGTTTAAACAAAAAAAAACTATAATAAGCTAAAATAAATTGAAGGATGAAATATAGAAGAAAATCATGCAGAAAAATTCATAACAGTCTTTTTGAAAGTTATTTATGTAATAATTAGATATATCGATATTGCTAAAGCGATGGCATCAGATAATATTCCTCTATTTAAATCATAATTCGATTAAAAACGAGCTAATAGACAAAACTATTTTGGCTATAGATGAGCCAGTTGTATCTTTTCTTCTAATAGCATCATTTTTGGTTCTGCTTGCTTGTTTCACCAGAGAATCAATAACGGTGTGATTAATAGACCCAGATCGATTCTTCTTTTTAGATTCAAGCCCAGCATAACCTGGATTTTATTAATAGGCTTATTCTCATCAAAAGATAGGAATTGAATTCTTAATGTCTGACTCCCAGTGGCAGTGACATATCACTGGACTATTCTACTTCTCAATTGTAATTCTTTAATTTTTTCAAAATTATTCAAGTCGATTTTAAATAAACATTTGACTTAGGTTTTTATGACTGGATATACCTGATTTAAATTCATGAAAAAATGGCTGTAAACATGACGAATTTAATTCTAACACTAGTGCTTTAAAATCTTTTTATCATGGAATTTAAGTGATAAATGAAGATAGCAAAGACAAATTTTTTAATCACTTATAAATAAATAAATAAATGCTACAAATAAAGTTTGAAATTTCAGATAAATTTTCGAAATGAAAAATGAAAAGGAAAGGCAAAAAAATGCAATACCTCCGAAAAATAAAGAAATATTTCAATTTGACTAATAGATCCAGATCAATTCTTTTTAGCCTCAAGGCAATAATCTATATTTACTTTATTTTTCAGCCATTTTTAAGCTTATAGTTGTAAAGGACTATAATTACATATAAATAAATAAAGCCATTAAAAAAACGCCATAGATTATTGAATTAAAGTGGTTGACCAATTATTAAGCCCAAACACAATCCAAACAAAGCTAAGAGGCAATGATATTATGGGCACTATAAAAATCTTTTATATTTTTAAAATAGTATAAAAAACTAAATGCTAAAATTTGCAATAAAACATTCCTCTTCATTTTGACTCTCTTAAAACATCAAAAAAATTCGCAAGCAAGTAAGTAAGTAGTAATTAGTTGATATTGACGAAATGAAGATATCGATGAGGTGAAATCAAGCAAATGCCAAGGAAAAAAAAGAGTGCAATGGGAGAATAGCCTCCGTAGAATAGCTTTTAAACCAAAAACCGAAAAAAAAGAAAGATAATGAAAGGTGGAAATGCGGAAAGTAAGACTAGCCAGGTGAAGGCAATGGAATTAATGTTATTATTAGATTCTTGTTTACCTTGCTTGATTCTAATTATTTTATTGATCACCACTCAATTAAGTTAATTTGAGCGCTGCCACAAATTTTCATTGATACAATAAACTGCTTAGGATGAACCACAAGTAAGTTAAATTCATTCAATAAGCGAAAATCAGTTCGCGATAAAACAATAGTTCTATAGTCAGTTGAAAAAACTGAATAATGCTCTTATTAGTTGAAATATTTGTTTATTTCATCACTGACCCAAGTAGGCTCTATGAGATAAATAAACAAAATGAACCTAAAAATGTTAGGTGAACATAATTTAAGTATCGCCATTTAATGTTTCTCATAAAATAAAATTTTCTGATATCTCTTGCTGGAACAATCGTCTCGAGGCTTGGCATAGATAAGAGTGAATCTATCATTAAAAAACCTTGGTGTTGCTGGTGACCCTCCTAGATTAACATCTTCAAGTGATACCTTATCAAAATTTTTCACCATAGCCAATAGGGCAGCTTAAGCAGAAATTGTGACTAACAAATGTCTAACTAGTTTTAATAAATTACTTATCTCAAAGGTGAAATTCAGCACAATAATTTTCGATAAACAATTATATATGGATAATTTAAATGATTTTGCATCACAGTTGAAATAAAACAAGTTTATGCATTTTATTTTACTTTAGATATCAATTACAATTAGAATTTTCAAAAAAATGGCTTAATAATTTATTAATATATCTGCCTGCTTATTCGTTCTTAAATATTGACAAATTTTCCAATGTCGCAACTAGAAATATATAAAAGAGAAAGGGAGAGAATCAATGCTGATGGAAAAGAGGGGAGGGGGAGAAGGAAAGGCAATCCCGAAAACAAATTTTTTGTTTAACATGATAACGCCAAAAAGTAATCTCAAAATCAATGAAACTACAAAATCTAAGTGAAAAAGCTTGCTTCCGATGAATTTTAGGGGAGGGAAATCGTTGATAAATACTGAACAGACCAACTCCTTGTCATGACATACAAAATTTTGGTGGAGACTATATGTGAAGAAAAAACCAACAAAACCAAAAAAATACTATTCATAAATCTCATCAAATTTTTTTCACCTCATTAAATAATAAACAGTAAATATTTTCACCCATAAAATAGGATAAATGAAAATAAAACAAACTGAGCCTATTTATAAATTTAGCGTTCAACACTAATATAATCGTCAAATGGATAAGCAATTAAGGTATAATTGGTGCTACTTATCTCATACATAAATAAGTATGTCAGTGCATTTATGTGCTATGTCAACTGATGGCTATCTTGTTTGTTGAACCATTTCAACGAATACTAAGGAAATTTGAGAGCAACAACATCTATATTTAATTATAGCATTAAATTACTATCGAAAAAATGAGAATGTGTCAAGCTATTCTCTATCAATGAGTAAATTTCGAAGAAACTGATGAAACGGGGAGAAACAGCTAATTTTCATGGTAATATAATTTCAAGAAAAGGCATATTGCTAAAATTTACTGAATTTTAGTAAAATTTTAAAATTAAAATTTTAATTTAAACTAAAATTTAAATCTTCATGGAGCAATATGAACTGAGAATCAACTAGAGAATAATGTAAAAAATAGCTGAGTGGATAAAGTTTATCGAGAAACAAGAAATCGTTTATTACCTTCAGTAGGAAAAAATTTGTCACATTTCCCTACCAGCGACTCATCCATGTTTTTATTGCCATATGAATCCTTAGCGAATATTTCTAACTGTATTAACAGCTAGCGGAATTAGTCTAACCAGGAATGGGCTGGCCACCTGCTTAGAACAAAATATCTCCTCAAAAACTACTGCAAAAGATTATCTAATCATTTCCTAGTTTCAGTAAGAGAACATTAGGGAATCATTCGAGAATATAAGTGGGTCTCCAGCGCCATCCCGAGTATGAGATTTCAATTAAAGTGTAGTAATATTTTCATTTATTCTGAACGAAAAAACTGAAAATTATTTTTTTTCTTCAAAAAACTATAAATAATGATCTAATCACTTTTAATTATTTACCAATTTCCATTTATAACTTTTATTAATTCATTCCGTAAACAAAAACTAGTTGGCCAATAGACTAATGAATATCAATGGAGCTTTAAAAAAGAAATAAATTAGATAAAAAAGGACAAAGAAAAAAGAGAATATCATTTGTTTCAACTTCTTCAATTTACCAATTTTGTTAATATTTAATATTGCAGTTATCCAATTTAGTTATTTAGATTAAAATTGTTTTTTTCCTAAAAATTATTAAAAATTTCATTGTTTTATTTCATACTCAACTGCGCTGAAATAGAATGATGTAACAAGTAAAAGTAAGCCATTAGCTTAAATTACAAGTTTTATCCATTGGCTGTTAGCAGAATATGAAAATAGTGAACCAATCGCTTATCAAAAGAAGTACAGTGGATCGCCAGCATGTTCCAAATATTTTAATGACAGGTTTAATTTCTGTAAAAGTGAAGATCCAATGCCACTGATATAGAAGGAAAAAAAGCATGAGAAAAGAAATCTCATGAAAACCAACGAAAACTAGGAGATGGCTTATTTAATTATGATTTATTTCGATTTGATTATCACTCTCTGTGAAAAATTTTTCGACATGGCTAATGAACAATATTTTTTAGAGAGGGGGGAATTATTTCGGTGAATCGATTCAAAATTTTTTCGAAATGTTCTTTGAATACCAACGACTAATTAGATTCGCTAAGAATTGTTTTTATTAACCCCGATGCAAAAGATCTTCCTTTTTTTAATTTAAAAAGGTTTTTTTGTGAAAAATACTAAAAAAATAATTCATAGTAAATAAAATCTAATTAGACTTCATATTTAAACAATGATTTTATCATTCAATTATTATTTCAGGTGATATAATTCAAATATTGTCCAAATAATAAAAAAAATTAATTTTTTAAATATTCCAAGGATGCATCTTACTTTTTGTCATAATCCATTAATAACATCAACCTAAACTCTTTTCTGCAACTTTAAAAGGTTGAAAAAAGTTCATAGAATTGAGTCGACCTTCCAAATAATAAATCGCAAAAAAATTAAAATTTTTATAATAGATCGGACTATATCTGACTATGCGAGACAGAAAAGTATCCGAGTGGTTATTCAGATTATCGTCTCGACCGTTCAGATTCAAATCATATTGCAGAAGAAGTAAGCCTATGGTAAGAAAATCCATAGTTGCGATGATCCATTTGTGCCAAATGACTCACTGGCAAAAACCATACTACGAAGCGAATGAACCTAATTAGAAACGATAATTGTTTATTTAACAGTTTTGATAAGCAAAGTCAAAACTTGAAGATTTCTTATCTTTTCTTATGACTTCAAATGGCTTAATCT